GGACCAAGAACTGGTAGATGGAAATAGAAGAGAAGCATCGTTATTCGCTAATGTTGGTTAATTAATTCTTTCTACACCTCTTTTGTGACCATTTTAAGGGTTATATTATGACAAATAGTATTATTAGTACAGAAATTGAGGGTCCAAAAAGAGACAAGTTTTGAGCAATTTTAAACAAAGTCACATAGGTATGGTGCTAATATAGAGAACAAACTATGGCCTCTTATAATACAAATGTTTGCTAAAAGTAAGGCTACAATTTATGGGTAGTCAGCTTCCTAAGAGTTTCTCATAGTTAGATAACATAGATTAGTAGATTACTAGAGGCTAAATCTTTTAATTATATATTGTTCTTAACCATCTTAATTATAAGATTCAAAGAATCATGTTATTATTTGTTGCAAGCTTCGTGTGCATGCATTTTACTAGATGATATACAATGTTATCATAATGTACAATGGAAGCATAGGATATGATTTTCTTCAAATCTCAAGCATTAACCAACTCGATTGCAGAGTGCGTGGAGTAATAGAGTGCCTTCATCTTCTAATAAATCGTTGTAAGTATTTTTGATGACTTGAACTAAACTAGTTGGCTGTTAGAATAAATCTTCTAGGAGTATTTACTATACTAAAGTAATCCCCAAAAATATCCCTAAAATACAATCCTTTATTCAATTTTGACTGAGTAATAGACAATAGATTTGTTAATTTTAATAAAATACAATTATTGATCGCCTAAGTAAATCATCAAACAAAATTAATTTATCATATTATGAATAAAGATAATTCAATCATGTATTAAATGAAAAATCCGAGCATAGCCTCGGGCATTAACTAGTTAGAGAAATACAATTACCATGCTAAGAAGTACAAAGTACAAATTTGACTGAATTTTTGCAAAAAGTCTAAAAAGAAAATCCAAAATTCCCCACTATACAAGTATACAACAATAATTTGTGAACAAATTTCTCTTTTGATTTGCCAATTATTTTCTGTAGTTGGTTGATCCAAAATTCCAAATATCCAATAGTGAATGTAAGTTTGAAGCTTCAATGGGCTAAGCAAGTCAAGCGAAAGAAGCCAAGAAGAATTATGATTTTGACCAATAATTTTCAGTTTAATTTTAAATTTTTTTGTAATTTTTTTTTTTTTTAAAAAAAACAAAAAACAAAAAACAATATGTTATTAAGATGATATGTATTGACTAATAGTAGCCACAACAGGCCAGGAAAGTAAGTAGATCAAACTATTCCGTAATATTCTGTTAAGTTGGGTTTGGTTGCCTAACATTTACACTTTAGTCTTCACTCTTCACTTTCTTCTTTTACTAACAAAGCAATAAAATGGAATCTCAAGGCAAGCTATACAATAATGTGTCAATTTTTAACTATTTAATTCTGTTAGTTTAATCGTTATTAGATATGTTAATTATGTAGTTCATCACTTGTTTTGTTGCTTTGATTTTCAAGTCAACGTTTTTGAAGATGATGTAAGTTACTTATCTGTTTACTTTAAATGGAAAACGAAGTGGTAGGTCAAACCATTGTCGAGTATACAAACCTAATTGCACGATTCAACGCCTGTTAAGAAGGGTTTAAATAATAAAGGATTTGGCCATCGACACAAACACTTTAACAACTCATTTGGTAGGCAATAATTAATGGCGGTAATGGTATTTAGTTTGCGAATAATGTTGCAAGGAAAACTTCGTGTTAAAGTGTATGATAAATTGATGATGAATCGTAATGGGATTTTAATAAGAAAAACACAAATTTGAGAGCAGAGTTGCATACACATTCACGTAAATTCGTGAAATCCGACATATAAGTTATTCTTTGAAAAAAAAATATAGAAGCTCATCCCAACATTTATCATCTACCAAACGGGTTATAAGACTAATGAAAGACATTGAATCTCAATCAACTGAGAAAAACAAATAAATAAAGTAGAGACCAAAAGCGTAGAATCAGTAGAAACATAATCTTTGGACAAGACTCAGAAAACAGGGGTTAGAAAATTGAAAGACCCAATTGTTTAAGACCCAAATGGATTAAAAGATGACTTTGTAGACGGCATCATTCAACACCAAACAAGGTACATTATACAATAATATTTATATGGCTTGCCATTGAGTTATCTAAATTCTAAATGCTACTACATGTAGGTAAAAGAAATCCTCAAGTGCATAATAATCATCCATCGCCTCAACTTGTTCATATATTGACAATCGATAGTACGAAGTATAAGATAACCTATTCCTATAATCTTAAATCTATATCATTATGAGGCATTACTTATTGCTGATGAACCTGAAATGGGTTACGAACCAAACAATGTAAGACCCCAATAGAGCTTAGTGCTTAGTTCTTTCCAACAGGTTGCAAGAATTGGAAACTGTAACCAGTGGCGGACTTGGGCTTAGACCTGGTGGGTCAAGTGACTCACCAGGCCCAAAAAAAATTTTTAAGTTATTTAAAAAAAAAAAAAATAAAAAAATAAAAATAAATTACAATCAGTTACAGGAGACTTCAAGGCTTTCAAGCCCTAGCCTCTTCGTGCTCTTCATTCTTCTCTTCGTGAATCGTGACTTCTCCTTCTCCGCCTAATCGCCTCCATTCTTCTCTTCGTGAATCGTGAGTCATGACTTCGCCTTCTCCGCCTAATCGCCTCCATTGTTAATCGCCTCATCTCCATTCTTCTGTTCGTGACTTCGCGTGACTTCGCCTCTTCGCTCATCTCCATTCTTCTCTTCGTGACTTCGCCTCTTCGCTTCGCCAGGCAGCCACCGTTCTCTTCGCCTAATCGCCTGGTAGTCGGACGTCGGTGACTCGGTGGTCGTGACTCGTGGACAGTGGCGGACTTGGGCTTAGACCTGGTGGGTCAAGTGACTCACCAGGCCCAAAAAAAAATTTTAAGTTATTTAAAAAAAAAAAAAAAAAAAAAAAATTAAAATCAGTTACAGGAGACTTCAAGGCTTTCAAGCCCTAGCCTCTTCGTGCTCTTCATTCTTCTCTTCGTGAATCGTGACTTCTCCTTCTCCGCCTAATCGCCTCCATTCTTCTCTTCGTGAATCGTGAGTCGTGACTTCGCCTTCTCCGCCTAATCGCCTCCATTGTTAATCGCCTCATCTCCATTCTTCTGTTCGTGACTTCGCGTGACTTCGCCTCTTCGCTCATCTCCATTCTTCTCTTCGTGACTTCGCCTCTTCGCTTCGCCAGGCAGCCACCGTTCTCTTCGCCTAATCGCCTGGTAGTCGGACGTCGGTGACTCGGTGGTCGTGACTCGTGGACTCCGTCCTCTTCGTGAAATCACTACTCGAAACGTCGGTGCTAGTAAGTTGATTTCTAATTTTTATTTTTAATTTCTAATCTTCAAATTAATTCAGTCTAATTTGTTAATTTTATTAAACTTTGGTAATTTGGTTGATTTGTTATTTTACTGTTGGGCGTTGGCTGTGCTGCTGATTGCTGGATGCTGAATTGGCGAATTGCTTAAAGTCGAGTGATCTACTTACTCCTATTTTGAATATCTTTCAGTGGCTTAGCTGCTTTTATTCTTTCCTATTCATTATGCTGTCTTTTATTGCATCGGCCCGTTCATAATCGAGCTATTAAAGACTATTGATCTTTGTTATTGTTGTAACAACTGATTTGCTAAGCTGGATGATGAAATGTGGTTGTCTGATGTGGTTATTGCTGTGATTACACTCCTGCAGTCCTGCTCCTGTGATCAGGAGAAACCCTGTTGCCTGTTTCTATCTACAATCTACTTGCTCATATTTGTATTTTATGCTTTGAGGATGTCACTGCAGAACTCAGTGGGTATCATCTTATCAAATGATCATAAATTATCAATTTATCAGCCTTCTTGGTTAGATCTTGCTATTATCTGGTATCCACATTTTTGTACGAGATTTCTCTTATTCGAGCCAATTTAAGCTGCCATAAATCATGCTATTCATTTTAGAGATAAAGGGGAAGAGAGTTTAATGTTTACTATCTAGATTCCCCAACCAATTTAGCTTCAGGATAGCTAGAATATCACTGGTAATATGTTTGTGGATGGTGACCTTAAGTATGTAGGTTTTTAAGTAAAGTCTTGATTCATGTTTGCACTTTTTACATCATATTTTATCATATATACTGTAAATTGGTCTTTTCTCAGAACAGTTATTACAGCTATCCACAAACCTTAGAGTTAACTTTTTTGTCTTGTGTTGCTCAACTGGAAGTTTTGTTTTGCTAGGCATTGAAGCAAGAGGTTTTATCTTTGGTCCCCCTATTGCCTTGGCTATCGGAGCAAAGTTTGTGCCATTGAGAAAGCCAAGAAAGTTGCCCGGTACTTACTCCCAAGCAAGGTAGGTAATCAACTAATCATCAATTGATTTTTTTTGTGAAATCTGTTTTGTGTAATTGTGTTTTGTGTAATTGTGTTTTGTGTAATTGAAATCTCTTGAACTTATTAGTTATTACTTATGTGAAATCTGTTTTGTGTAATTGTGTTTTGTGTAATTGTGTTTTGTGTAATTGAAATCTCTTAAACTTATTAGTTATTACTTATGTGAAATCTGTTTTGTGTAATTGTGTTTTGTGTAATATGTTTATGTGATTATGTCATTATGTGAAATTGCTTGATTTAGACCATTTAGTTGAATATTTATTCAAATAATTTTTCTGGGGAATATTGCTTGATTTAGTTCAATATTTATTCAAATTTCAGAATGAAGAGAAAACATACTCCAAATGAAATGCAAAACATTACTAGCTTCTTTGCTAAAAAAATCCTACTCCAACTTCTCTTCCACATCCAACACAAAATGAACAAACTATAACTCCACCTCAACAAAGTGAGCAACTTTCATCTCCATCTCATTATTCAACTCAAAATTCCCCTCAAAATGAACAAGGCCAATGTTCTCCTAATGCCCCAATCTTTGGAGAAAGATTAAGTGAACATGAATTTGCTAATCTTCCACAAGATCCAGGAAAGAGGAGAAAAATGAGTCAATTTCATAAAGATGATAGAGATTTAGTGAGAAGAATTTACATTCAAAGAAAGCCTTGTCAGCCCAAAGACTTTACATTTCCTCAAACTTCTATTTTTGGCAAAAATCGTCGCTTTTGTGCTAAGTGGTTTGATACTTGGACTTGGCTTGAGTATAGTGTGGAAAAGGATGCTGCCTATTGTTTCCCTTGTTATCTATTCAAGGATGAAAATGCCTTTGGAGGTGATGCTTTTGTTAGTGATGGTTTCAAATCATGGAATCGATCGGATTTAATAAGAAAACATGTCGGTAAACACTTGAGTGCACATAATAATGCTGTTTTAGCTATGGATTTGTTCAAGAAACAAAATTCAAGCATCACACAAGCCTTAAAAAAACAAACCGCTGAGAGTACAAATGCATATAGGACGCGACTTGAAGCTTCAATTGAATCTATCCAATGGCTTTTACTCCAAGGGTTGCCTTTCCGTGGTCATGATGAAAAAGAAAGTTCCTTAAGAAGAGGTAACTTTCTTTCACTTTTATCCCTTATTTCCAAAGGTAATCCTGAATATTCTAAAGTTGTTTTCAAAAATGCTCCTAGTAATTGTCAACTTACTTCTCCTAAAGTCCAAAAAGATATCATAAATGCATGTGCAAAAGAGACCACTAAAGCAATGCTTGAAGATATTGATGGTGGTTTATTTTCTATCCTTGCTGATGAGTCCGCTGATGTTTCTGACAAGGAACAATTGGCTCTTTGTTTGAGATATGTTAATAGAAAGGGAGAAGTGTGTGAGCGTTTACTTGGTATTGTGCATGTTGTAAACACTGCTTCTTTGACTCTCAAAACTGCTATTGAATCCTTATTAATGGAGCATTCTTTGTCTTTCTCTCAAGTACGGGGTCAGGGTTATGATGGGGCAAGTAATATGCAAGGTTCTATTAATGGCCTTAGGACTCTTATAGAGAATGAGTGTAAAGAAGCTTATTTTGTCCACTGCTTTGCTCACCAACTTCAATTAACTCAAGTTGCACTTGCTAAAAAGAATTCAGATTGTGCTTGGTTATTTGTTGATGTACTTGCACCTCTCTTGAATTTTGTGGGGGGTTTATCAAAAAGGAAAGAGTTTCTTCGTGAAAATCAAGCTCAAAGAGTGGTGGATGCATTGTCTCTAGGTGAACTTGAAACGGGTTCATGTTTAAATCAAGAACGTGGATTAGGTAGACCTTGTGATACTCGTTGGGGATCTCACTTCAAGACAATCTTGAATGTACTTGATTTATTCCCTGTAATCCTTGGTTCTCTTGAGGATATTGCAAAAGTATCTGATACAATAGATTCTAATAGAGCTCAAACACTTACAAATCTTCTGATGTCCTTTGATTTTGTGTTCGTGGCACACTTGATGGTTAGTATATTTGCGATAACAAATGCTTTGAATGTGGCCTTACAAAAGCACGATCAAGACATTGTGAATGCAATGGCCATGGTTAATGTAACCAAGACTAATTTGCAAAAAATGAGAGATGAAGGATGGGATTCTCATATGGAAAAGGTAATTTCTTTTATTGGTGACTATGACATTGCAGTTCCAGATATGGAGGCTAAATATGTTGTTCCCGGGAGGAGGTTGTTTAGAGGTAAATGCCCACAAGTGTCCAATCTACATCATTTTCGAGTTGAAGTTTTTTTTGGTGTCATTGATCTTCAATTGCAAGAACTTGAAAATCGATTTCCCGAAATAACTAAAGAACTACTTGTGTGTATGTCTTGTTTGAGTCCTGTGGATCGTTTTTCTAAGTTTGATAAGGAAAAATTGATTAAGCTTGCAAAATTCTATCCTAATGAATTTCCAAGTTCAGAATTGATAGTCTTTGGTCATACACTTGATAGTTACATTTGTTCTGTTAGAGGAGATGAAAGGTTTTGGAATTTGAAGGGTCTTAGTGATCTTTCAATCAAATTGGTTGAAACGGGATTGTCTGAAACTCATGATAGGGTCTATTTACTTTTGAAATTGGTGTTGCTTCTTCCTGTCGCAACGGCAAGTGTGGAAAGAGTATTTTCTGGCATGAAGCAAGTGAAAGACAAACTACGAAATAGCATGGGAGATCAAATGTTGAATGATTGTTTAATTACTTATTTGGAGAATGATTTGTTTTTGAATGTTAGCATGGAAGATATCATGAATCGATATCAAAACATGAAAACTCGTCGAGAACTATTTTAATAAGTTTGCATTACTATTTAGTTGTCTTTTGTAGTATTATATGAACATTTGGTTGTATTTTGTACTGTTTGAATATTTGGATGTATTTTTTAGTACTATTATTTGGTTGTTTGGTAAAAATTTTTTTTTTACATATTTGATTATCGATTGTGACTCACCAGTCGGAAAATCCTGGGTCTGTAACAGCAGATTTAAGCAAGATTTTGTTTCTTCAACCAGGGAATGGGGGTTTAAATTCAGACCGTAGCTGAATAATTTTAAATTAACCTACATTTACTGCAAACTTAAGATTACTGTTTTCTACATGATCAAACGATATACAAAGTATTATAGAGCTAACACCACGACCTAACATGTTTATGTAGGCGAAAAAAGAACATAACTAAACTAAAATTACAGCTTAATATGGGGACTGGAAAATGTTACATTGCAAAATCTGAACAAATTATTCAGACACAACTTCATCTGTGTTCTGAATCTCATTTCTGATTTCAGGCAGTGTGTCCAAATCCGTCCTAGATTCTCTCTCTTCCTGCATAAGGGCAGTAGTATCAGAAGCATCAATAGGGTCATGCTGAATATGGCCAGTAACCTCGTCAGAGTGAAACTCGGTAATTTCATCCGATGCAGCTTCTCCACTGTTATCTAATTTATCACCCTGATTTTCATTATCTACAGAGCTATTTTTTGCAGCTTCCTTGGTATCCTTATCATTTGTACTGTCATGGGATGTAGAAAATGTAGAATTGTGTGAGCTTAAGGATTCTCCATTATTAGTATTCACATCCTCAGTTTTATTGCCATCTGCTGACGTTTCCTGTCGGCTCTTGTCATCAGTAGCTAGTTCGATCTTAACATCCTGTTCCAATACATTGCCTGGCAATTTTGGTTCTTTATCACCAGGCAATTCCAAGGTACCGTTTTGGGACACAATAGAATCAAGTGTTGTCAGTGTTTCAGTAGAAAGCAGAGTGGCAGAAAGTTGACCACCAACAACGGTTGAATTACTAGTGTTTTCAGGCAATGTCGAGTTCTGTAGTGAGCTATCATCAGGCTTCGTCAAGTTGACTTTATAGTTCTTTGGTTCAGTAACTGTTAGATTAGAAGTCCCAATGTTAACATCTCTAGGTTGCACATCGGGTTTGATCAACTCTTCAGCATTATCAGAGGTTTTGTTTTCATGCTCCTGCCCAAAGTTAATGTTTCCCCACATTTCATTTCCGTGATCCGATGTCACATTCTCAGTTTCTGAAATAACAGATTGAACATTGTGAGCAACTTCACTGGAGGCATCATCAGCCCTATAAAGCATTTCTTGGGCTTCACGAGTATTTGTTCTCCCTACATCATGGTCCTGATCATCTGATGTAATCTCTTGTTCACCGTGATCTTCTTTACCAACATCGCCATGTTCTTCAGATTCAGTATGAACCTCCTTTTCAGCATTCTCCTCATTATCTTCCTTTTCAGGTTGCCCTTCATGGTTTTCTTCGGTGACATCCTCTTTTTCTTCCCTCTCTTTATCTTCATCTTCCTCTTCATGTTCAGACTCAATCTCCGTCTTTTCTGGTTCGTGTTCATCTATTTCATCATCTCCACCTCCTCTTTCCTCTTCTCTCTCTACAATTTTGACATCCTCTATTTCTGACTCATCCTCTTCATGTTTGTTATCTTCCTCTTCATCTTTTTCGTCTTCATCTTCTTCATGTTTTTCACCATTTGTATCTACTTCCGTGATTCTAGGAATATCTTTTCTCCCGATTCTCGGGATCACACCATCACTTTGAACCTTTCCCACATCCTTATCATCCTTAACTTCATATTCCTGCCTTTTCTCATGAGAATGCTTGACTTGGTAAATTAACCAAATGCAAACAGCCAGCAAGACACAGATTTGCAAGATGTGCTTCACTTTAATTCCTTTGGATCTATTATTCCTACTAGGAGATTGCTTGAACATTGTGATGTCCTAGATAATTAGCTGCCGTAAGAAACCACCTATAAAAATACGCAGGACATTAATTTACAAAGGTTTAAGTATGACAGCAAAGACCAATTACTGTAATCGTTCCTACGGCCTCTTTTGGCAGCTACAATTCAAACACTAAGATTCTCAAGTCCATCATGCTGTAAAATCATGCAAAAACATCAACTAGACTGAAGTAAGAACTGCTAGCTATATGGCTTCTGGCGTTCAGATGATAAGATTGATTACATGTGAAAAGTAGCAAAGACAGCTGGTTCCTAAAATCCTCCAGAAGACAAGTATGGATTGGCCTGGATGGAGTGCCAATATTAGAGGTTGCAGCTAAATTGGTCCAGTAATGCCTTTTCAAGTATCACAGTGGAATTATATATACAGATGAAACCTTTTTTTTAGGTATTGTATTTGAGAACAAAATATCCAGGTAATACCTTTTCCAGGAATGTGCCTAAGATGATGTCGAAGCTGTTAGCATGTATATCTTTTATAACAAGGATAAACACAAGTCTTTTGGGAAACATAGGTCTTAATGGAAATTACATAGTGCGCAATTATCTCCTAACTTCACTGATCTCAGTAATGTGGTACCCATAGAGTAAAAGCTTTGGTGGTCTGGCCTAAATATACGACCTAAATTATACAAAGTAACGAAGAATGCAGGGTAATGGAAGATTGGAGAAGTTACTGTCCTGTCAGTCACAAAAACATACAAGTGATTGTGATTTTTTTTATTATTCAATTTTACATCTAAAAGAAGACATATCTTGAGTTTTAATATAGCTACTACCCACAGAAGTTTAAAGTTGCTTGGGAAAAGAAAACATTTAGTGCTATCCTAGCATTCAACACCTTTAACAGCATCGACGAATAGCAACAGCTGACATAAACACAAAGCATCTAGCATATACTGGGTGAAGATAAAAGAACACCAATCATCCATGCCTTCTAGGATACCGCCAACAGAATACCCATGTATGGTTCTAGCTTCTGCCAAGTCACATGTTTTCACGTATGCTCTAAGGCTACTAACAGAAGAGCATCTTGCCAAGCCAGTCTCTTAAACAAACAAAACATGCAACAACGTCCATATAAGACCATTCCTTAAGCCTCTAAAGAGGCTAATAGCTAGGGCTGGGTGGAGCTGTTGCAAAGACTTTCGTTTTTGACTAGTAACCTCACTCGCTAATTCAAACTACACAAATAACAGTAAAGGGGCAATTACTCAAACATCCGGTCAAGTCCATTAATCCATAATAATTCAAAGTTGAAATGATGATGAATAGCGACTGTTCGCCAGGAAAATGATCAAGCACTTGGCACCGAGAAATCGAATAGGCCAATTAAAGCGGATTGATAAGGACATTCCATTCTTGACAGGTTGTATGCACTAATGTATCAAGGTCCAATAGCTCTCAAGAGAAGTACAGCCACAGGTACATTATGATTGACTCATTAATCAGCATAACATAATACATCATAATTAATTCATTTATCAGCATGTACGAAGTAGAATAAACTGAAATCAGAAATTAATTCAGAATGACACTGAAAACATCATCTCTTTTCTTATAAAAAAACAAATCCCATCATTAGATTCACAATTAAGGTAACCCCACAAAGATTAACAATAAAATTACACTGAGCACTAAAAACCCATCAAAAACAATGAAAACCCTATTCCAAAATAACACCAAAAACACAAAACATCAGTCAAAATAACATAAATTCAGCTCAATTCATGCAATCAATCAAGACCCAGAAAAGAATCACCAAGAACAAACCAAATCCCAATTCAAAAACATCAAAATAAATAAGAACATGGGCAAATTCCGTACATTAAGAATTGAATCAACGATTAAAATTGAGAAAGAGAGAGAGAGTATACCTAATGAAGAAGCAAAGAACAGAGCTTGGCAATGCAATTAGAAGCAGAAGAAAGAGAGTGAAGTGAAGAGCAGAGTTAATGTGATGGGGTTTTGAAAAACCCAAAGAAAATTAGAAATAATTAAGGAAGGATCTGAAATTGGCGACACAAGTCTTGAGATTGAATTTGGGAAAACGTGGATTCTTCTAGTTATAAAGATTAATTATTGATGAGAGATGACACTCTCATTCATTCACACAGGTGAGTTGTTGTTGAAGAGTGTTAATGGAGGCTCCACACTTTTTTTTTTTTTTACCTTGAAGTTTTATGTTGGACTCGTTCAATTAGATTAATAACTCGGCCCACAATCCATCCCGCGGTCCCACTTTAGTGTACATTCGATACGATATATGTGTATATACAGATTTGTCAAAATAGATTCGACTTATTCTTATTGAGAAAGCAGAGCATAAATACTGTATTGGTTAAAATTTTGTAACCTAACTCGAACTTGATAGAATTTTATTTTAGTTGTTGATAGAGATTTTATTTTCACAAATTGAACTTATCTTTCATAATTTTATTTGGACTTATCTTTTAAATCTAATTATTTTGAAAGTATTTATCCCATAATAAGTGAAATAAGGTGAATTAAGCAATACCTTTGTTATTTTTACTGAAATTATATTTATTTTGGTTGTTGTTTGGGGTCCAAATAACTTACATTTGGACCCAGTCCACAATGAAAATAATAAAAGTCCAAAAGGCAAGGTTCAACCCTCTTAGCATAATAGTCAAGTCAAGTACAGCAGGGCCCAATCAAATGGCAACCCATTTGATTCCTCAAGCCCAGTCCATCCAATTGGAGCAAGGTATAAAAACTTTCACTCTTACACAATCACATATATACACATTAAATGCCTCAAGCAACAAACTCTCTTGCATAGCTTTTCTTTCATTGTCTTGCATCCGTACTGACTTCGGCATCGGAGGGGCCTTCCTCGGCACAACCCCCGAGGCCAGTTTACGTGTGTTTAGCTGTGCAGGAAATCCCCAATTCGGTCATCACTCGAATTGGGCTTCATCTCCACTCATCCGAAGGGCCTGCTGAAGGTCCATTGTTTTCTAACCGAAACAATTTGGCGCCGTCTGTGGGGATACTTACAAAAAATTCAGCCAACAAATCTCACACGAATCTTAGCCAACGCAAAAAATGACTAAGAGTGCAAAGAGCTCTAAAAAAACTAGGAAGATGGGCCTTACAACGGTAAGGGCCGGCAGAACACCTTCACCATCGCCCGAACCGACCGCTTCCAACTCCCCGAGGGGAGAAAATACGCGTGAAGGATCTCCTCCCCAACGGGATTACCAAAACGGGAATTCGTCGAGGGATAGTGAAGTTCGTAAGCGTGATCCTTCACCTAGCAGGCGTTCAACTCCTCCTACCGGTCCGTCAACCGAGGAGGTCATGAAGGCCATGGCTGTGTGCATGGACTTTATGAACGCTTTGGGAGGATGCTTCCCATCAACAAAAAAAATCGCCCTCTCCCCCTCCTAGATCGCATGATCGAAAGAGGAAAAGTGGAACCGAGAGAGAGAGGCAGGCACCATCCTCGAAAGGGGAAGGTAGCCGAAGGGCTGGGCATCCAAGTGGCTCCGGGTCGAATCAGAGGAAAGGCTCCGGCCACCTCGAAAATTCCAAAGCTCGGAACTCCGAGGATCATCATGACAGCCACAACGTTTCTCGCCGAAGCGTTCATGAGCGCTTAGGTGGCAAAGAAGGAGGGGTACATAGTCGCCTCACCTACCCAGAAGGGTCTCAGCCCTCTATGTCACGCGAAGGGACACCCCCTGCATCCACCTCTCTGAGAGGGAGAAGTAGGGTTCCTTCGGCGCGGCAGAAGGGAAAGGCCGTAATGGTTCCAACCAGTTCCCCATTCCAAAGGTGGATACTGGAGGAACATGTGCCAACGGTTAAAATTCCGGCACACATCACATATGACGGTACTTCGGACCCGAAAGATCACATAGCCTCCTACGAGGGGCATATGTACCTTAACCCCAGGTCTGAAGCTACCTGGTGCAAATACTTCCCTACAACCCTCAAAGGTGTTGCCCAATCTTGGATCACCAAAGGGTTGAAGGAAGGCTCGGTAACAGGCTTGAGCGATCTGGCCAATAAGTTCAAGAGCAAGTTTTCCACGTCTAATCGCCGAGAGAAAACTACTGCGGAGCTCATGGGCATGCAGCAAGTGGAGGACGAAAGTCTCCGACATTATTTGACTCGCTTCAGCAACGAGTCGTCCGGAATCACAAGTCTGGATCAGAGCCTGGCCGTATTCGCCCTACGGAATGGCTTGCAAGCTGGAAAATTTCTGGATTTCATGGTCATGCATCCCCCGCAGACCTTGGAAGAAGCCCTCGACGCTTCGGATAAATTCATCCGAGTCGAGGAATGGAACAAGGCAAAGCTGCAATCTCAGTCAGGGCTTGTGAAGCCAAGAGGACAGCAGGCCGAAGTTCCAGGGTCAAGGAAAGGGAAGGCAAAAGCCTCAGAACCTCCCTCGACCACAGAGCCGAAGAAGGATAAGGCTCCCTATCTGGGGAAATTTTAATTTTACATTCCCCTCACCTTACCCCGTACTAAGATCTTTAGTGCGATGAGGGAAGAGGGAAAGTTTAGGAAGCCGAAGCCACCTCCTTCTTGGCATCAAAAGAAAGGGAAGGACCATTGGTGTGAGTTCCATGAATCTCGTGGACATCGCACCAAGGACTGCCTTCAGCTGAAAGACCAGATTGAGGAGTTGGTCCAAAAAGGATATTTAAAGAAATATGTCGCGGAGCGCCGCGAAGAAAAGAAATCCGAGAAAGATTCTCGGAAAGAGCTGGACTATCACCGGAAAAGGGACAGACCACCCGAAGGAGGGAATCCTGACATTCTGACCATTTCCGGTGGCATATCTCGGAACGCACTCAAGCGCCATCTGAGGGGTCTCACCCATCAGATTCATCATGCCGAGTTCCAAAAACCGCAGTCTCCGGTGCCGAACATGATGTTCACATCCAAAGACTGTAGGGGGGTGGTGTATCCCCATGATGACCCTTTGGTTATCATGACAAGCATTGCAAACCACAACGTCTATCGGACACTGGTAGACGGGGGCAGTGGGGCGAATATACTTTTTCGAAAGGCATTCGACCAGCTGAAGCTGGAGAGCAGGCATTTGACCCCAGTTCCTTATCCAGTCACTGGATTCAACGACTCTTCTTCATATCCGGATGGGAAAATTCTTCTTCCCGTCAGCCTCGGCCAAGACCAGGCAAGACGAAGCATCATGGCCGAATTCTTGGTCATTGATGCCCCATCAGTATACAACGTCATTATGGGGAGACCCCTCATCCATGATGTTCAAGGAGTTGTCTCGACATACCACCAAGCAATGATCTATGTTTCGGACGAGGGACGCTCCGAAAAAATATTGGGCAGCCAAAGAGAGGCCCGAGAATGTAATTCCCTCAAGCCATCCAAGAGTCACCGCAGCGACAAGGATGATGAGGAAGAAAAAGAAAGAGAAAAAGAGCGAGGTACTAAAAGGCCGAAGGGCCTTAGTGCTTCGGCTCAGGGGTCCCCAAAAAAGAAAGCATCTTTGGGGACTGTGTCCCCAAAAGATTCGGACGAAAGCCAGCCGAAGAAAGGAAGGTCTGCTGAGATTGACAGTAGACCGGAACCAGAAGAGTCTGGCTCCAAAGAAATGGAGTCAGATGAGCAAACCGAGTCAATCCAGTTGACCGAAGGAGATACCGAGAAATGTGTCAACATCGGACAAGGGCTCGATCCGAGCCTCTGTGCCGAATTAATCCAACTCCTTCGGGACAACAGAGATGTGTTTGCATTCTCAGCAGCTGACATGCCGGGAATCAATCCGAACCTCATCTCGCACAAGCTTAATGTCGACCCCGCATGTTGGCCAGTTAAGCAAAAGAAGCGGAACTACTCCGCTCAGAAGAACCGCGACATCGCAGCCGAAGTCAAGAAACTTCTGTACGCAGGGTTCATTGAGTCCTGCCAATACCCTGAATGGATGGCGAATGTAGTAATGGTTCAGAAAGCTAATGGCACCTGGAGAATGTGCGTTGATTTCACGGATCTGAATAGGGCCTGTCCGAAGGACTTTTATCCCTTGCCGAGAATCGACCAGCTGGTTGACTCAACAAGTGGCCATGCTTTGCTCAGCTTCATGGACGCATTTTCTGGGTACCATCAGATTTTCATGCACCCCGATGACAGAGCAAAAACGACATTTGTTACAAGCGCCGGGGTGTATAATTATAAAATGATGCCCTTCGGCCTAAAGAACGTCGGGGCTATATATCAGAGGCTGGTGGATCAAGTGTTTGCTGAGCAAAAAGGCCGTAACATGGAAGTCTATGTTGACGATTCCATCGTCAAAAGCAAAGAGGCGAAGGACCATGTTGCGGACCTAGCCGAAACGTTCGCCATTCTGAGAAAGCACAAAATGAAGCTGAATCCGAAGAAATGTGTCTTCGGCGTGAAGTTTGGAAAATTCCTAGGCTTCATGGTCAGCAAGAGGGGGATTGATGCCAATCCCGCCAAAGTTCAAGCAGCTCTGGATCTTCCTGAGCCGAAGACGAAGACGGACATGTAGCGTCTTACTAGGAGGATGGCTGCCCTATACAGGTTCATCTCAAAAGCCTCGGACAAGGGTTTGCCCTTCTTCAAGGCCTGCCCGAAATCAAAGGAGCTCATATGGGAAGATGAGCAAAAAGTAGCATTCCAGCAGCTCCGGGAACACTTGGCAAACCTCCCGACACTGGCAAGGCCAGCTGAAGGAGAAGTCTTGTACCTGTATGTGGCAGTTAGCCCTGCTACAGTGAGTGTGGTGCTGTTGAAGGAAGAAAAAAAGGTTCAGCAACCGATCTACTTCGTCATTCATACTTTGACTGATGTCGAAACGCGCTACCCTCTGCTCGAAAAAGTTGTATATGCAGTGGTAGTGGCAGCTCGGAAGTTAAGGCCTTACTTTGACTCACATCAAATAGTGGTCTTAACAGATCAACCGCTGGAAAAGGTCCTCGGCAAGGTGGAAAAATCAGGTAGACTAACAAAGTGGGCCTTCGAGCTCACCGATTTCAGCATAAGCTACCAGCCGAGGGCAACAATTAAGGCCCAAGCCCTAGCAGACTTCCTAGCCGAGTGTTCCTACCAGGAAACACTCGACGAAGGGAAGGGGACTTGGGCTGTGTTCACGGATGGCTCAGCCACCGTAAATGGTTCAGGAGCTGGGGTGGTAATCACCACTCCCGAAGGTAGAAACTTCGAGTATGCACTCAAATTCTCATTTAAGGCTTCTAACAACGAAGCAGAATACGAAGCAGCAGTTGCTGGCTTGGAACTGTGCATAGCTCTCGAAGCCGAACATGTCTGTTTGAAGACAGACTCTCAGCTAGTCGCTAATCAGATTCGGGGCGAGTATGAGGCCAAGGAGCCTTCCATGATCTCCTATCTTGCCAAGATCAAATCAGTCATAGCGAAATTGAGAACTTTTGAAATTGAGCTGATCCCAAGGGGTCAGAATGCTCAAGCCGATGCACTCTCCAAACTTACAAGTTCAACTCTTACTGAGCTGAACCGATCCGTATATGTGGAGGTGCGCCGAAACAGGAGCATTGACCAAGAAATTGAGGTCTAATGCGCTGAAGCTGAGCCTAGCTAGATGGACCCCATCTTGACTTACAAGCTACAAGGAACGCTACCCGAAGATAAGAACTTAGCAGCGAAAATGAGAAGGGTAGCTTCAGGGTTCATTATCTACAAAGGAGAGCTGCTAAAAAAATCCTTCTCAGCCCCACTGTTGAAATGTGTGGGTCCAACAGATGCGGATTATATCCTTCGGGAGATCCATTTCGGCATCTGTGGAAACCACATAGGGGGGAGGACCCTAGCCCATAAAGCATTACGGGCAGGATATTATTGGCCAACCATGACCCAAGATGCCAAGCACTTGGTGCGGAAATGCGAAAAATGCCAAAAATTTGCACCTGTTATTCATAGGCCTTCAAGGGACCTTCAGTCGATCCTGAATCCGCTCCCTTTTGCTCAATGGGGGTTGGATATTTTAGGACCATTTCCCGAGGCTCCTTATCAGAAAAAATGGTTGATAGTCGGAATCGACTACTTCAGCAAATGGATAGAAGCCGAGGCAGCTTCAAACATAACTGAGCAAACTGTCAGAAAATTTATCTGGTAGAATATCATCACGCGCTTCGGCATTCCAAAAGTGTTTTTCTTCGATCACGGAAGACAATTTGACAATCTGCCGCTGAGGCGGTACACAGATCAGTTCGGCATAAAGTTGGCGTATTCGGCAGTCTGCCATCCTCAAAGTAATGGTCAGGCCGAAGCTGCAAATAAACAGATACTCAACGCTCTTAAGAAGAGAGTTGAAGATCAAAAGTCCAAGTGGATAGAAGAGCTTCCTGAAACTCTATGGTCACTTCGGACAACTGAAAAAGAGGCCACGGGGCATTCGCCTTTTGAATTGGTGTATGGATCCGAAGCCGTTCTGCCAGTGGAAATTGGCTCAGAAAGTCTCCGAGTTAATCAGTTCTCAGCCGAAGAAAACGAGCATCTCATGAAAGAGTCCCTCGATTTCTTAGGCGAAATTCAAGATTCGGCAAGGGACAGAATGGCAGCATACAAACAGAGAATCAGCAAGTTCTACAACCGAAGAGTCCAGTCAAGACTCCTCAAGGTTGGAGACCTTGTTCTTTGGAATGCTGCCACTGTTCAGAAAACAACATCCATGGAAAACTCTCAGCTAACTGGGAAGGGCCTTATGAAATATATGATGAGCTCCAACCAGGGACTTATCGTCTCTGGCAGTTAGATGGAACTGAGCTGAAAAACCATTGGAACGCAGATGTACTTAGAATATTTCATGTGTAAAAATCTGTGTAAGTACATTCTCTGCAGATCAATGAAAGGCCTTTGAGCCACAATTATGCATAATTTTAATCTGTTTTCATTTATTTCTGTCTTTGCCGATTTTTGAAAAAAGCTCAAGGTTTACACTCGGTGCTGTCCGAAGTATTGCATTGTGATGCACTGTACTTCGGCAAGCCGGAGAACCTGCCAAAATTAGAGCAACAAATAGAACCTCGAGGTATTGCATAATGATGCAATGTACCTCGGACAGATTTGTTGCTCTCGGCGAAGAGGTCATAGGATCATCTAGGACATAGCCGAAAATAGGAATTGACAAAATGGCCGAAGCATTGCATAATGATGCCTTGTGTTTCGGCGAATCAATTCTGGGTGGCGATTGCACCTCTGAAGTATTGCATAATGATGCTTTGTACTTCAGATGATCGCTGCCCTGGCATCGTGTCCAAAGTAGTCATTCCCTCGGATGAGTTAAAACCAGGCAAAACATAAGGAATAAGCATAAGTGCGCGAACTATAGCAAATCTTCAGCCACACTAGAATAATCGAGGGCAATGGCACTCAGAACTCTGAAGGCGTCATCTTCAAAGTTCGGGGGGGGGGGGGGGCAGAAGGTACTCACATGCAGAGCTCCTAGCCGAAGCTCTCAGTACTTGTCTCCTAGCCGAAGCTCTCGGTACTTGGAAAAAATGTTATAAAAAGCCAAGTAAAATGAATAAGGCATAGAGAAATAAGGGATTATCAGCTGAAGACTTTCCAGGTCGAAGCTCTGTACTTAGCTAAATTTTGAAAAAATTCAGAAAAAAGCAGTCAAGTTCAAAGCTAGAAAAGCAGGCAAAAGAGGGGGAAACAGCTGAAATTCTATTTCATGTACTCACAGAAATTGGAAAATTACAAGCATTGAGTAACAGCTACAGATACTAAGTTCAGAAGTTTTAAAGAGACAAAAGTTCAAAGTCGGCAGCCGCCCACATAGCGGAAAACACAGTTGCCGAAAGTACACAAAAACAAGTTAAAAGTTTGTACAAGGCAGGTTGAAACAAAAGAGAACAGGCAAAAGCTGATGCGGCATCTTCAAATTAAATGCAGGTTGATCCGCAAGATTCAGTAGACGACTGCCCGAATTCCTATGCTTCAACATTTTCTGGAACTCCAGAAGGACCAGCCATAGCTGAAGAAGAGGCAGGACCAGCAGCTTCAGCTTCTCGGGCAGCTTCCTCAGCTTCTTTGGCTTCGGCTTCGGCTTGACGGACCAGGAAGTCTATCTCAGCTTGACTAGCCTCGTTGATTCGAGGATTGTCAGGGTCCATCGACCAAGCCTCAACCTGGTCCCAGTTTATATCGTGAGCAGCATGTAGAGCCAAACGCCGAGCTGTCTTCCAGCCATTCTCAAACCCTTCACCATATTCAGCTTCTGTGTAAACTCGGGTTTTGAGCAGTTCTTTGGCATCTTGCAGCTCGGCCTTCTGAGCCTCCAGATCATCTTTCAGCTTTTGATTGGCAACGAGCAAGTCATTTTGCTTCTTCTCAGCCTCTTCCCGAACCTGGGCCAACTGCTCCTCATGGGCAGAGACAAGGAGCTGTCGAGCAGCGGCGTCTTCCTTCGCCTTAGCCTCGAGCCGAGCCCGGAACTCGGCAAGGGTATCAGCTCCAAACTCATTCATAAGAGACCGACCCTCCTCGATCCAGGGGGAAGACAATCTGCTCCAAACCGCGGCTGAAGGTGCGAAAATTCTCATCCCTTCGCTGCATCTCCAGCTTGATAGCCGAAGCATCGTCTTCAGCCTTGGCCTGCTTCAATTCAGCCAGTCGAGCCAGAGCTTCAGCCTCTTCGACTTTGGATGCCTGCCTTTGGAGCTCTTCAAACATTTCCATAGTGAGGAAATGATTGTGTACAGCTTGCAAAATACAGCAGTTGCAGCTTAAGCAGTTAGCCGAAGCCTGACACTTGGCAGAATTCTAAAAAAGGAAACAAAAAACAAAAAAGAAGAAAAAGAAGAAAGAGAGACTCAGCAAGTGTTGGAAGGTTTACCTGCATCAGAACCCTTTGGTTCTCGAGAAAAGGATGGGGCACGTTCTCCAAAGATTCAGCAGCCCCAGCAGCGGCGCCCTGCATCCACGCCCTGGCCCTCTCAACAGCTGGAAGATTTCCCAGATTGCCGAAAAAAGAGACGGCGGAGTCGCGCATGTCTTCAATTATAGCTCGGGCACGGGCAGGAACAGGGACCAAAGGTGCAGAGCCAAACCCCATCTCAGCTGACTGAAAGGTTCGAAATGAGTTAGCAGCTGAGCTGGAAGGGACGTCTTTGTGTGCGGACACATCAACATCGTTCAACTGAGGCTCGTTCTCCTTCTCAGCAAGTTTAGGATCCTCAGTTTGGATCCCTAACACTTCCACCTCATGCTGAACCTCCTCAGAAAATGGCTTAGATATGTGTCGAGGAGGTGAAGGGTCGGCCTGCAGATCGACCACTTCAATGAAAAATTCCCGAGAGGGGGAAGTGACCTCAGCTGCTTCTTCCTGGACCTCCTCTAGCCGAGGCCTCTTGACAGGAAGCTCTGGCGCCCTGAATTGACCGGGGCGAACCAGAGGCCTTCTCCTTCCACCAGCCATGTCTTCGGCAGTAGGTTCAGAAAGGGCAGGACTTTCTTTCTCTACTTCTTCTTCCCCTTCGGACTGCAGAAGAAAAGAAAGAGGAGGCAGGAAGACGAATAAGAAGTCAAGTAAGAAGTCAAAAAAAAAATGCTTAACAGTTTTGACAAACAAAAACAAACTGAAGCACACAGATATTTTAGCCGAAGCCGCATGCTTAACAGTTTTGGGCAAAATAAACTGCATCAGACAGATATGCATCCGAAGATCTACACTTAGCAAAATATTCATACAAATTTAAGAAAAGCTACGTGTAACATACATATCTAACTACATGGCTGCGCACTCAGAAAAATGCTTCACAATCCGAGAGAACAAGATGCTGAAGTTCTATACTTAGAAATTTTTTTAAAAGTCAGGAACTTACTGAAGAACCGAACAACTCTTCGGTATTCTCTTCCTCTGAATCTTCCTCCCTATTAGGCTCGGATGGAGGGGGTGGCTGATGTGCAATGTCACCTCCTTCAGCAGCAGCAGCAACATAAGCCTCCTCTTCGGCTGAAAGCAGGAAGAAAGGGTCAAGCTTCTTGTACCAGGGCTTCTGCGCCAAGTACTCAAAGGCACTGACCACTTCAAGCTTCTTCGGCTGCAGCGCTAGTGGCCGATCCTTTATAGCTGTGATGGGGGGGGGTATTGGTGATCGGCTCTCTAGTCCGGCTGATCCCCAACACTTCGTAGTCGATACCAGAAGTCTCTTCGCAGATCTCTGAAAAAATTGTCAGAACAAGGCATTAATTCGGACAAAAATTCTCAGACTACAAAAAGCTCAAAAAACAGAAAATAAAAGCTTCGGCCCTAGCCGAATCACTTACCACCTTGGTATCTTCGGCTGAGGCCGACAACTGCTAGCATCTTCTCTTGGAAGATATAATGACAGCATGGCAGCCAGACAGTTGGCACCACTGTCATTCGGTCAGTTGCGCCAGGATTCGAAGATCTGCCAAAAAAATCCATCTGCTGGTGATCCGCTGCGGTGAAATCGTCATCACCGATGCTTGACATGGATGGATCAGGCTTCCTAGTAAAGCGAGGCCCCCCGAAGTAATTAGGGTGGCCCTCTTCCAAAGGGGCTCGCACCCAAATCCATTGACCTCTCCAGAATTTATCCGAGGTATCATTCGGATAAGAGGTCAGATAACCTTTCTCGTCCTCTATGTGCCACCAACCTCGGCCATGCCATTTGCTTGACTGGGTGTTCGCCGACAGCCTGTGCGTGCACCGAAAGCAATGGACGCTCGGCTCCAATCCATAGAAAAGGCACACCCATAAGTACGTCATGATCCTTTTGACGTTGACTGGGGTTAGCTAAGCCAAAGAAATATTGTACCCATTCAGAACTTTGATGACGAATGGGTGAACTGGAAATCGCAGCCCGTTCTGCAGCTGCCGAACATACACCCCAATATAACCAGGTGGGGCCTGATAAATTCTGTCCAGCACCGTGGGCATTCGGCACCAATACCCATCGGCCTCCATGATGCCGTAATATACTTTAAGCTGCTCGGCGAAGTGGTACCGAGCATTATTTTCCAGCCACCATTCGGATGGCTCGGTCATCAACAGACTGGAATTCTCATACTCATCAGTCCACTCCTGCTCTTCAGGAGTTAAAGGCCGAGGCCTGGAGAAGACCCTTCGGCCAGATTTATAAGCCTCAGCTGGCTCATTAGGAGGGGCACTGTTAAAAGGAATGACCCTTAACCCCTCTCCACTCGAGGACGAACCAGCCTCGATTCGAGTATTAGGGTTACGACCACTCAGAAACGACATTACTGAAGGCCGAGGCCTAAAGAAGACCCTTTGGCCAGATGTATAAGCCTCAGCTGGCTCATTAGGAGGGGCACTGTTCAAAGGAATGACCCTTAACCCCTCTCCACTCGAGGACGAACCAGCCTCGATTCGAGTATTAGGGTTACGACCACTCAGAAACGACATTACTGGCATAGGACGGTTGCGCTTCAGAACTAGTTGCGGCACTTCTTCCTCGGAAGCCTCGTCCTCAGACTCCATTGGTCTCTTTTCAGGGTTGCCGGTCATTGTGAAATCGGCGGCGGTACGAAAAAGACAGGAAATGGGGAATAGAGAAAGGGAAAATCCGAATGAAATTCGGAGAAAATTACCTCTATCTGGCTCGGAATTCGCCGATGTAGTGGTTCGGAGCAACGAATTTCGCTGAAATGCTTCGGAAAGTGCGGAATTTGGTGAAAGAGAAAAGGGAATTTGCGCGAAGTTCGCTGGGAAGTGAAAGCAAATTGCGAAATGTGTTTGATTTGGGAATGCCGGAAATAATGATGCAAATGCAAGTTAAATACCTGGCAAAAAAATCCTACTCACTTGATTTTAATTCACAAACTCTTCAAATTCTTCCCCAAACCAGTTACAAACCATCAAAATTAAATTTTCCACTAAGTCTACTCCACTTCTCCACTATCATTAGTTAACCGTCATTAAGGTTAATTAATTATCATTAACGGTTATAATAACTGTACAAGTTCTCAAAAACATTTAAATTATTTTCATTTATTTCCCTCCAAATTCTTCAGCTGCTGAAACCCGACCCGTTATCCTCACGAATCGGGTCTGGGGGGCAAGTTGTTTAGGGTCCAAATAACTTACATTTGGGCCCAGTCCACAATGAAAATAATAAAAGCCCAAAAGGCAAGGTTCAACCCTCTTAGCATAATAGTCAAGTCAAGTACAGCAGGGCCCAATCAAATGGCAGCCCATTTGATTCCTCAAGCCCAGTCCATCCAATTGGAGCAAGGTATAAAAATTTTCACTCTTACACAATCACATATATACACATTAAATGCCTCAAGCAACAAACTCTCTTGCATAGCTTTTCTTTCATTGTCTTGCATCCATACTGACTTCGGCATCGAAGGGGCCTTTCTCGACACAACCCCCGAGATCAGTTTACGTGTGTTTAGCTGTGCAGGAAAACCCCAATTCGGTCATCACTCGAATTGGGCTTCATCTCCACTCATCCGAAGGGCCTGCTAAAGGTCCATTGTTTTCTAACCGAAACAGTTGTGAATCAGAATTAGCACTTGGATTGAATTACTTTCCTAAACTACACTTATTTTATTGAACTTAATTTGTAGGAACATAATGTTTTGTAAAATATATTGGAGAGAAAGAAGACTTATACCAAAACAATGAGACAAACTAATCAAGCTTACCCACATAATTAAAATATGTATTCATAGATTCATACATTGCAAAGTGGTAGTTATCATATAAACTAAACGTTAATTATTCTTAGGTAATTTTTGCGAAATTGTGACCCGAACAAAAGGCTCTTTACATAATAGCCTCCGAAACATAGACTCAAAAGGAGAATTGTTGGCTAGCAATATGTTTCACACTAGTCTAGACCAAAAACCAGCAATAATTATTGTATCCCAACAAAATGGCTGGCCCAATATGTCAAGAACAAATGGTTAGATGAACTCAAAGAGTCACATCAATTTTTTTTGGTTCAGCCATTAAATCACATCAACATTATTGGAGGGTTGTATAACATCAACCATACATAATAACTATACCAATCACGTTTTTCTTATTTTTGGCCAAAGTAAGGTTAATTAACCGTTGTTTTAGGAAAAAAAGGCAAAAGAGAGTATTTTGGAAAGTTGTTTTGTATAACTTACGAAAAATGTCATTAATATTCACCATTCATCGTTTTATTACTTCGTAATAAATTTACAACATTGACATTGTTCGCCCTATAAAAATGTCGAGGTTATCTTTTGAATTTTTATCTCCCAATAAAAATTATCTTTTGAACCATTTTTTCTCTTCATCCATTAATTTTACTCAAAAAAACCATTACATTGTTGGATGATAATTATACTCATTGAATTACTCTATTTTATGGGTGATATATCGGTAGAATCATTCACTATTTTTATCACAGTTTTTTTTGTGAACGTACTAATATAGTTCACATGATCATTAACATTTTTTTGAAACCTCCCAAAATACGTAGTAGTTTACATCTACAAGTGGATATAAAAGTTTAGTTATATAAAATGGGGTTGGTTCTAATACTAGATTATATTGCAAATTTCTGAATAAAAAAAAACCTTAAAAGCCCAAATGGATAAAGGTCATTTAGAATACTTAGCCTTTTCTTCCTGGGCTTGAACCATCGGGCTTTTGACCCAAAGCAGTAATTCTGTAATGTAAACTATAATCCAACGACCCAACCCACATATTCACATTTTTAATGTTTCCTTTCAATGGAAAAATGACTTTATATCTTAAAAAAAATTTCTTTAATTGCGTTTTCCTTAAAAGTAAAATAAAAATTTCCGTCCAATCAAACCAAGCCTAGCATGATTAGTACGTGTCACGTGACACATGTCTCACGTGTATGTATTTTGTTTTTGTAAAGTAGGGAGATCTTTTAATTTTGTTAGGAAAGTTGTAAAATTGGTTTTGTTACAAGTATGTAAACTGGACATTGTAAAAGAAAAGAATCTAAATAAAGCTCTGAAAAGAAACATGAAGCCCAAGTTAACAGACTTAAGCTAAGTTAGTTGTTCAATTATCCCTCCAAAAAAGAAAGAAAAATGTGATATGTCATTTTCCAAAAAAAGGTTTTGTGTATGGCCAAAGATTGGTATATTATATTTATATATACATTTGATAATAATAATAGGCATACAAAAGTTTGAATCATAAAGCAATTTCATTCCATAATTAAGCCTGTAACCTACAAGTTTTTGTCAGCACATGTACCAGGTTATTTAGAAAACCCCTTAAATTTATCATTGTTGATCACACTTGTTTTTTCTATTCATCATAATAGTGAATGAAATTTGTGCTTTAACAGTAAAAATTAAAGTGCATTGTTTCATTTAGTATTTAAAGGTGGAAAAAAAAAAACATTGGTCGATTGCTACTCGCCTCTAACCCTTAGCCCCTCACTAGGATCAGATTATTTATATTAATATATATGTTATTGGAAATTTCAAACTAAAAATAAACTCAGAATGTGAATTGAGATTAATTGTTACATAATTTAATAAAAAGTACAAATACTACGTATATATCTTTGGTAGACTACTCCACCTAATCACCTATATATTATCAAATGCATTCTATAGTAATAATTAAAGTAAACAATATAATTTTTGATATTATGTCATTTGATTTTGCTAAATTAAAGTAATTACTCCATAACACTACATCAACAATAGTCACTTAGCTAGAAGCTAGTCATATCAAGTTTAAAATCATCTAATGTATCTCGGAAACTTTCGAAATGAACTAGTACATCCATTGAAAAGTTGACAACTAATTTAAGACTTTTCTTTACTTCCTTCAAAAGATATGTCTTGCTTAAACCATAAACCTCTCCTATTTTATTCCTTTCTTTTCCTCATGCATTACCTATAATCACACCAAATCTTTTTATTATTTCTTCATAAGCTAAGATTACTCTCAAAGTCACCATGACAAACTATCACTATGGACTCTTTGCAATAATTTTTGTTACTAGCGCGATTTTGGTTCCATTTTCCCTTGCTTCTGTTGTTTCTACAGGGAACTTCAACAAGGATTTCTTCATCTCATGGGCGCCAAATCATGTAAACACATCAGCTGACGGCACGACTAGAACCTTAACACTTGATCATGAATCAGGTACGTACATACGGTCCATATTTATTAATTATTATCACATATACGAAGCATTACGTACTACATACTATACGTATATGCTATTTATTTGTGCAAAATACAATTTTCAACTTGTTACAATTTATGTAGCTAATAATTTTCTCTGGCAATTAATATTCATAGGTGCTTCTTTCGATTCGAACAGTATGTTCTTGTTCGGGCAAATAGACATGCAAATTAAGCTAATACAAGGTTATTCAGCAGGCACTGTTGTAGCCTATTATGTAAGAATTATTATTATAATTTTCTTGTTCCTTTCTATTTCTCATTATTTTAGTACTCCCCCCCCCCCTTTTTTTTTCTGGAAACAATTTTGCCCTTCTTGTTTATTTTGAAGATTTACTTAAAATTTGTTATAAGCAATACAGCTTGCATCTAATTCACCAAATCGAGACGAGATAGACTTGGAGTTCCTAGGAAATGTTACAGGGCAACCTTATATGCTTCAAACAAACATATACTCTGATGGGTTCGGCAATAGGGAAGAGAGGATTTCTCTGTGGTTTGATCCATTAGCAGACTTTCATACGTATTCTATTCTTTGGAACGTTTACCAAATTGTGTAAGCCACTCTTCAAGCTTTGCTTTAGAAAATAAATGCGGATCCCAATAAACTTAGTTAGCGAATTTAAAAGATATAGTTTTGTTTAAAAATTAAAACTATGCATGCACAACCAAAGTGCATCTATCAACTTTAAAAAGTTTAAGCATAATTATCAACCTATTTTTTTTTCATAAAAAACTTGCAATAATTTAATTCATTGTGCATACCTAAATTACATGGCCATATTGTCACCCTTCAATTACATAACAATCAAAATCATTAGCCTTCAATTTGCACTATATAATAATTCATTTTTCAATAATATAATTATAGTCGTCACCCTAACATCAATAATACAATATCGTTAATTAAATTTTCCAAGCTTATAATATATGATCATACAATAATATTGGATGCATGCATACAGGATCATGGTGGACTGGGTCCCAATTAGGGTTTACAGAAACCATGCAAATAAAGGAGTAGGGTTTCCAAGATCACAACCAATGAGCCTAAAAACGAGCTTATGGAACGGCGAAGATTGGGCAACAAGAGGAGGGAAGGATAAAATCGATTGGTCGAAGGCACCCTTTGCTGCTTCCTTCAGAAATTACAAGATTGATGCATGTATTTGGGGAGGAAATCCAAGGTTTTGCAAGGCAATTAGCTCTACTAATTGGTGGAACAAAGAAAGATTCAACACTTTAAATTTGAATCAAAGAAGGTTTTATAAATGGGTGAGGAAATATCACCTAATATATGATTATTGCCAAGATAATAAGAGGTTCCAAGGCAATCTTCCTAAGGAGTGCTCCCTTCCTAAATATTAAAATTACATGGAATAATAATGCTTTGCAAATTCAGAGAATTTTCTTGCCTTTAATTATATCGTTATGTAACGTATAGTAGTAAGCCAAATAATTAAGAGACCAGATGAATAGCTAGCAATTGTGGTCATATATAGATGACTCATATATAGTAGTATCTTAAATAATTCGATCTTTTAGAAGCACGAAGCAAGATTTATACGGAGTATTATTTTTTCGATAATTTATATGTAGTAGATTTTATTCATGAAATTCGAACTTGGATCATCAATATGAAAATTTATTTCATTTTCATTACTCCATTTCAAACCCCATCTTAGTTTGATTTTCCAGTTAAATTATGTATGCGAACTTTGAACTCCAAAATCCATGATAGCCTTCTAGATCGAGTTAGCAAATTAAAGAATTTCATTATTTATTATAATTAGATTAAATCAATTAATTGGTAATTTGGTATCCAAGCAGCCATTAACTTGATATAAAATATACGGAGTGGTAGGGTTATTCAATTTGTAGCAGTATGCTGGCTGAATTATTCAACACATGATTTATAATACGTAGTGATATGAATGAATTATAATACATTTATGCATGTTTGCTATTACTTTTAGCCATTTTAGGTATAGTTTGAAGCATAACTATCCGCTTTATAATTTGACGTACATATTTATATGTAACTTGTAATCCTAATATAATGTACTAAATTATATTACTTCTTTGAGGCAAGGTTATTACCTACCCTATGCCGTGTGCGTCAAAATGTATAGCTTGATCATGGTTGTGTACGCCTTATTTGAATCACGCATCACATTGAATATAAACAATTAATCAATATATAGGATTAATTGTTTAATTTCTTTTAGACATAGGTTTGACCCTTAAAAATAAGAAAAAACTAACGAGAGTCCCCGGGACGTAGATAGTGAATTAAAATGGAAAATGTTACAGAAAAGTAAACATTAATTATAGCGATTGACGTGTGATTTTGACATGTAGGTATATATTTTTATCTAACAACCTGGGGTGTGGGGATGCTCGTTAGCAAAATCCTAAAATAAATATAAATATGTTCATTTGTAATTAAGAAACGCAACTTTTAAATTACGCATGCATATATACGTATAGTAGTTATATAGTTTAGGCATAGTTGCTTGAAACTTTATTTCCACTAGCTTGATACAGAGAGGATAAAATTGCACAATCTAGTTTGGCCTTGTCTAAAATTTCATCACATTTTTACGCAGACATTACCAAATGTTACGTATATACATTTTTTTTTTAATTTTTTTATTTATTTATAGCATTAGCTTTTGATTGACCACGTGGTACGTAGACTCATTTTATATACAAGTATTTGCACAACCATTTGCCTTAGAAAATGGAAAATACTAGTAATTTTCCTGAAGCCGGCTAAACAATATTGTGTAAAATATTTTATCTCCTACTTGCTAATATTTTTCAATTGATTTTCCTCTATAAATTTCACTCAATCTTATGCAAAAATTTCACAGCCTATCTTTTTTCATCTGTGTAATTCAACAACAACAAAAAAAGAAAATGAATTTTCTCAAGTCCATTGCAACCTTTTCATTTTTCATCATAGCAACCTTAGCCTTTGCTCGAGTTTGTCATGCACAAAATTCACCACAAGACTATGTTGATGCCCACAACGCGGCTAGGGCCGAGGTGGGTGTCGAAAACATAGAGTGGGATGACGAATTGGCAGCCTACGCCCAACAATACGCCAACCAACGTATGGACGATTGTGCTCTGGAGCATTCTCAGGGGCCATATGGAGAGAACATCGTTGCAGGTCCCGGTGATGCTAGTGGCATAGATGCAGTTAAAATGTGGGTTGATGAGAAGGCTAATTATGACTATGACTCCAATACTTGTGCTCCCAATGAGATGTGTGGACATTATACTCAAGTGGTTTGGCGTAATTCCGTTCGTCTTGGATGTGCTAGGGTTCTATGTAACGGTGGTGGGATTTTCATCACTTGTAACTATGAACCTCGAGGCAATTTTAACGGAGAAAAACCCTACTAGAGTTTTTGGTCTGATCGATCAGCTTATTGAACCATATAATACTTATGCTCACTAGGGCATTCACTTATACATAATAAATTATGATAATTCAATAAGCGTGTATACTATATGTAAAATATCAAATAAAGTAATATATAAGGAATCCCTATTTATGCACCTGTTTAGTACCATAGGGATATATATTTTGCTCTTTTGAATTTATTTAAATAAGAAGAATATATAATACTCTTGGATTTGGGCATTTTGGGTGCACTAATATATATGAAGCATGTAAGAAATTTTTATGTTTAAGAAGTCATTTACGTGTTATTCGATATTTCTTACTCTCTTTTTTTTGAGTTCATTTTTTTAGTAATGCATATATAGCTTCTTTTTAGCAACTTTTCTTTGTTTTGATATAAGTCCATACTAAACTATTTCAATTACGTACTATTCAAAGATACTACTAGCACGTAATTGAAATATGAGGAGTTACTAAATAATACTTGTATTGCTTATTGGTCAATAAATTTAAAAATTATCAAGTGTGCAATACTCCTTTGGTGAACAAAAGAGGTATGGAGCTTGCATCTAAATTGTTATCCAAGTCCAAAGTACCTTTATCTAATTGTTAGGATTCAAACCTCACACGTTTGGAGGTCAAAAACTAAGAAGCTTATCAAGTGAACCAATACTTTGTTGGTGGTTTGGGGTTACATTTATAATAGTCTCAAATCTTAATTAGCATTTCACATATTCAACAATAGCTTGATCGTTATTGTATACTTTTTTTCTTCTTTTGATAAAAATCTTTATTTATTGTATACTTGCCTACCACTTGAATTTCCTACTACTTTCTGTTTTTTTTATGGGGCAAAAATTACATTTGACACTTTTCATCATATAAAATCTAGAAGTTCATGATTATTATTTTGTTCATAGAGAGATAAAATTAAGCAATGTATAAACACATTATCGTTCACTGCAAAGACTTTTCAACACAATGCCAATTCCTACTTTACTAGCCCTAATTCCTGGCGTACCAAAGTCAAGAGAAGTCAATCTATCTCACTATTTACTTATTTAGCATCAGCAATTAGCATTGCAAGATGTCATCCTTAATACTAGACTACTAGTATTATTATCACAAACTACTATCATTCCAACAATACAACAATGCTTCGTTTGTACAATTAACAATAATATATTGATGTAAATTACATGCAGTATATCAATCACCATTTTATTATTTGTAACCATTAATAAAAATCATACAACATCTACAAAAAAAATACTAATTAAACAAATCACGAATTCTTATGTGGCCATCATCGTATGGGGGTTACTTCGTTAGTGTTATAAGGGTTATTTCTTTAGTGTTATAGGGATTACTTCGTCAGAGTTATGGGGGTTACTTTGTCAGTGTTATAAGGGTTATACGGTCAGTGTTACATGTGTTACTCAGTCAGTGTTATAGGGGTTACTTTATTGTTTTACAAGCGGTCACATGGTATGGCCAGCCGCACACAAGACGCACTGCAAACAAATATATAACATATTGAATTAAATAAAAACATCCTTTATATAAAGTATAATGTCCAATAGATATTGCACTTTGGAACATTCCTGCTTAATTATATTGCTATAAAGTAAAACCTTGTTAGAAAGAAAATCTAAATATGACGATTATTTGTAGCCGTGAAGTTGTTTTATATCATCTAATTCATTTGGTTGTATTAAAAGATTTGATAATAAATTTTGTGAATCCGCATAATTTTCACCAACGAAATAATTTCACAGCAATGCATTAGATCTATTTTCTAGGATTTTAAAATAAGAAAAGTCTCTGAAACGAGGAGGCAAACCTTATCTTTTGAATGATATTAAAAAAAAAAAAAACTTGTTTTTTGAAGGAGTTCGTTCATTATAAGTCTACATGTTGATGAATATTTTGGAAGTTTAATTTCCATATTTTCCAAATTTAAATTCCACCTAATTTAAATTAGGCTCTGAATCTTCTACTTCTAATTTTCAACGCTTTGCTAAGAATTTTCAAGAACTCCCTCCTATATAAATCCCTATTTCATGCACATAAAATCCATTCCAAATATCAATTACACATCTCTTTGTAACATTAGTAACAACCCAAAAAAAAAAATTCACTCAAAAACCTTGCAACCTTTACATGCTTCGTCATAGCTATCCTAGCCTTTGCGCAATTATGTAACGCGCAAAATTCACCACAAGACTATGTTGATGCCCACAATGCAGCTAGGGCTGCCGTGGGTGTTGGTAACATACAGTGGACCGATGACCAAGTGGCGGCTTACGCCCAACAATATGCTAACCAACGAATCAATGATTGTGCTTTGCAGCATTCTCAAGGGCAATACGGAGAGAATCTTGCAGGAGGTAGTGGCGAATTAAGTGGCACGGATGCAGTACAAATGTGGGTGAATGAGAAGGCCAATTACGACTATAATTCAAATTCATGTGTTGGCGGGGATTGTTTGCACTATACTCAAGTGGTTTGGCGTAACTCGGTTCGTCTTGGATGTGCTAGGGTTCAATGTAACAATGGAGGGTATTTCATTGGTTGCAACTATGATCCACCAGGCAATTACCAAGGCGGAAGACCTTACTAATCTTTTTGAGAAAAATGACAACTCATCCTCTAAGAGAGTCTTGGAACTACTAAAAAATCTACCTCGTATTCTACTATTTGTTTAAAGTATAGTTTGTGTCAGCTCACTAGAGCATTTAGTGATATTCACTACTTGATAAGGTATGTGGTTACAATGTATCTTATAAACCTATGTATGCATGAGAGGAGCAAATGAATAAAGTGTAACTTGTTTTCAATTATCATATACACAAGCTATTGTATCACTTTGGGGTAACTTTATTACGGAGTATATGTATCATGTGATGTGGATGGTGGATCATATTAGCACTCTATAACTTAAAATTAGAAAAAGGAAAATTTAGGCTGGGGTCGAAGGGGTAAAATTAAGCAACTACTTAGTGTGTCGATTTAGGTTGGGCAAGGTCCGGACTGAAAATGCTTGCCCAAAACTTGTAAAAATGGATTGTACTTAACGGATATTTTCGTGTTTTCTCGGCCAGGCTAAAAAAAAAAAAAATTAACAAAAATTCTTAAAATAGCTTGTTGTCCTGTCCAAAAAAATAATAATTTCGGACTTATGTCCAAAACCAGCCCAAAATTGGGTCGGGCTAACGGGTTGGGCCGAGCCCATATTGATCACTTCTAAAGGTTACAATTCAAATGTGGGTTGCTTTTTCAAACGTTACCCTCATATTTGATTCCTTTTTTTCTTACAATCAGCCAGACCAATCAATTTTGTTGGTTTTTGCTCCAAATTGATCATTAATTCTTCTTCAATTTGGATTCTTCCGATTAACAAATCCTAAATTTTTATTAGGTTAAAGAAGAATATTATTATCTCATACAAATCTAAAGGTTTCATCTTAAAACCAATTTACGGCGACATAAATACGTAAAGTCGTACCTACATAGCCCACTTGACTTACATGTTATATATATCCATCCTTCCCCCCCCCCCCCCCTTTTTTTCCAATGTAATACGTATACATCCCACATACATTTTAAGTCACATGTGGTATCTCTTAACACTTTTAATTTGGAAACTTCAATCTTGATTAGTTTTTAGATTTTTTTTCAAGGATTGAATTTATAAGTTATAGAGTGCTAATTTATTTCAAGGATTGAATTTATAAGTTATAGAGTGCTAATTTATTTCAAGGATTGAACTTCAATCGATCTATAAGTTTTCAATGTTTAATAAGTTGGGGTTAAAAGGATACAGAGTATATAATTATGAATTGAATGGATCAATAAGTTGATTAATTCTTAATTCTTATAGGCATATATAGTGGTTGGTCGCTGAATTAAAGTTCTGCATTTTGTGATTTGTCAATTTAATTTGAAAGTATTAATCGTCTTGATCAGCATCAAATCAAGTAGCAAAATGATAGGCATGTTTACAGTTTTACATAGTATACAAAATCAATATTTTGATCATTTCTTTGAAGCATTTATTTATATTTGAACAATTAAGTTAATTAAACGGTCCACTTGCTATACAAAAGATGACTTTTAACAGTTAATATATGGAATATATCTATATCAATATTATTTAAATGCTTGGTACAGAAGTAGTATATGCTTGATACATTCTAATGGTTTTAGGAATACTGTCCAACCATGGTTTCAAAATAAGTGACACAGTTTGACTATTTACACTAATTATGTAATAACTTCGACTCACCATATTAAAAATGATATATTATGATTAAATCTTCTTCTTTGTTTATTTTCTTCTTCTTCTTTTTTCTATTTTAATATTTTATTTTTTGGAGAACCATATGATCAATTCTTGCACATGAACTTTTAGATGGTGACATTGCAAAGACATTTCAATTACTTATCCACTATAAATTGCACGTCTTAAGCATCATTTGATATATATTTCCAAGAGCTTTCATATTTCTTTCTAATTGTCTTAATTTCCAAAAACAAAAGATGTGTAAGAGTTTGTCTAAAAGTAGTACACTTACAACATTTTCATGCCTCATCATAGCAACCGTAGCCTTTGTCCAAATATGCCATGCACAAAATTCTCCCCAAGACTACCTTGATGCCCATAACGCCGCTAGGGCGGAAGTGGGCGTTGTAAACATAGAGTGGGACAGCACATTGGCATCCTATGCCCGACGATATGCCCTGAGCCGGGTTGACGATTGTGCCCTCCTACGCTCCAACGGGCCCTATGGAGAAAACCTCGCCGTAAGTAGCAATCCGTTGTTCACTGGCACAGACGCCGTAGAACTATGGTTGCAACAGAAAGTTGACTATGATTATAGTTCGAATACTTGTGCGATTGGTGCAGATTGTTTGACCTATACTCAACTGGTTTGGCATGATTCGGTTAATGTTGGGTGTGCTAGGGTTCAATGCGTTAATGGATGGATTTTTGTTATGTGCAGCTATAATCCACCAGGCAACATAATTGGCCAAAGGCCTTTCTAAGCCTTATTAATTATAATTCTATCAAATATAAATAAATAAAGCCACGGCAGTGGTGGTGGTGATGGTGTACTGGTGTGGTTGATTGGGATTATTGTAAAAATCCTTTAACAGTTTGCAAAAAAATGTATCATGTATCATATAATTTCCTCTTTTCTTATATCAAATGACTCAAATCTAACCATTATGATTAGAATGGCAATATTGCTATATATACTCCGATCTATTTTCGTTATGTTAAACCAACAAAGTGTTGGCTCATTTGTTAAGACTCTTATATCAGATCCTAGAGGTTTGGGGTTCGAAATCTACCAAGTGAGGATACTTGGAGGTAGAGATTCCCTTATCCTCCCCTCCACTCCCAAGTGTCTGGCCCGCAAACACTAGAACAAAAAAAAAATCGTGAGGGTTGAAATCTGGTCAAGTCCTCCTTACCATAAAAAAATGTTGTTCTGTTGACAAAGGCATAATATGTGGCCAGGCTAAAATTTCAAATTTTTATAGAAGTACTTTTTGATAATTAGAAATATTTACGGTTAACTATACGAATTAACAAACGTGATACAAGAATTATGTCATTTAAATTATAATGGACAAAGTTTATTTAAAAGCAAGCTAAGAAATGTAGACAAGAGTTAGAAATAAGAAAATAATATGAGTGAGTAAAAATGGATACTATGAAATGATGAAGATATAATGAAATAGTGTTGAATATTTTGTTTCAAAAAAAAAATAAAATAGTGTTGAATATTCCCACTTTAAAACTGTTGCATTAAAAAAAAAAATAGAGGGATTAGCAACAGAATGGCATACTTAGAATGGCATACTTAGAAATCCGTCAATATACTATAATAACGAAATCACAAAAAATGCTTGGAAATAATTACACAAATCTTGAACGCAAGAACTAGTTGCATGATTTCATATTTTCCTGGTACTATCCTATCTAACTAAGGCTTTGAATTTTCTACATCTAATTTTCAACACTTTGCTAAGAATTTTCAAGAACTCTTTCTATATAAACCCCTATCTCATGGACATAAATCCATCCCAAATATCATTTAAACATCTCTTTGTAGCATTAGTAACAACCCAAAAAAAAAATAAAAATGAATTCACTCAAAAACCTTGTAACCTTTTCATGCTTCGTCATAGCAATCCTAGCCTTTGCGCAATTATGTTACGCGCAAAATTCTCCACAAGATTATGTTGATGCCCACAATGCAGCTAGGGCTGCCGTGGGTGTTGGTAACATACAATGGGATGACCAAGTCGCGGCCTACGCCCAACAATATGCCAATCAACGAATCAATGATTGTGCTTTGCAGCATTCTGGAGGACCTTACGGAGAGAATATCGTTGCTGGTCCGGGTGATGCTAGTGGCACCGATGCAGTAAAAATATGGGTTGATGAGAAGGCTAACTATGACTATAATTCCAATACTTGTGCTCCTGATAAGATGTGTGGACATTATACTCAAGTGGTTTGGCGTGACTCCGTTCGTCTTGGATGTGCTAGGGTTCAGTGTAACGGTGGTGGGATTTTCATCACTTGCAACTATGATCCCCGAGGCAATATTATTGGCCAAAAACCTTACTAGACTATATATATGATCGAGCTTGTTAAACAATATAATAGTGCTTCATCTATGTTACTCTGCTCACTACGACATTCACTAGTAATCTTTAATTTTATATGAGAGATTAATAATCTTGTATACTATGCAATAGAAATCAAATAAAATAAGAATGAACCTCTTTTATGCATATTTTTTGAGTACCATATGGATATAAAAATTGCTCAATTTTGATATTTTGAAATGGACAAAATTATTAGATGAGCATATCTATACCTCTACTATCATTAAAAGTTTCCTTAATTAAGCTTCTTTTTTTTTTTTTAAAGTATAGTTTAAATAATAAGCTCGCTAGAGCTTTTAGTAATATTTACTACTCCGTACTTAATATGGTATGTGGAATCTATCTATACTATATACTAAAGTAATCACCAGAGTTACCACAAAAGTACACGTGTCACATCCATAATAAAAATTTCCCCACCAAAACTTTTTTCTTTTCATTTTTTTCCTACAAAAATAACATGATAAAAAAAAATTTAGTGAATACAAATTTACAGTAATTTATAAAATTAATTTTTTTTTTCTTGTGAATATACAACTGAGCATGTTCAGGCAAATAACTAGTAAATCTGATAAATTAAACCTATGTTGGCTATGTGCATGTTTGGCAGTAGCTTTATTTTGAGTAGTTTTTAGGTAGCTCTTAGTGGTTTGACTTATTCAAATCATTACTTAGTAAAAAACACGAGTGTTTGGCTAGGTAGGGATGGAAGTAGAGTTAAGTGGTTGAAATAGTTTTTGTAAAAAGTAAATATTATTAGCTTTTGTGAAAAGTTAGGTAGCTGTTGGAATTTTTTTCAATACTTTTTAGAATTTTACAGCTAATAATTAGTCAACAACTATTTTACCAAACACGCATACCTAACTATTTATTTTCATAGCTAACAACTACACATACAGCTAACAGCTACTACCACAGCTAACAACTACCTCTACAGCTACATTTTGCCGAACATGTAGGGTTTGTCCTTTGAGAGAAACAAGTAAATAAATTGTAATTTGTTTACAAATAAAAAACAGTTATAAGTTCTTGCTATCTTGCATGATTGCATCACGTTGTTGTGGGGTAACATTTTAATTTTCATGTAGTTGAATCGATTTAGTCCTCTGCTTAAATTTAAAATGTTGGAGAATTTAAATACAAAAACTACATATATTATTTTGACAATATTATTTGTGGTATTATGGCTATTGCGAGTAGTGATGAAACCCTTAACTTTAGTTAAGCTGAGAGTCAGGGAATGCAATATACTATATTACTATAGATCGATGTATTACACAAATTAAATTAGTGTAAAATATGATCGAACATAAGTCAGTTATGTACATCGAACTACCACACCACGCAAAAATTAGAAGGATGCAAACTACACTAGATTAAATCCTTAGTACAAGTATAATCAAATTAGAATACCTTATTCTAGAAGAAGAGAACAATATATAAGTTTCTTTATTAACGAAATTAAATTCACAATACGCTATTATCTTAATTTCGAAAGGAGTAATTGGGAAAAAAAAATGCACATCCATTTGAGTAGCATATATGCTCATGCATAACTATCACATAACGGTTATACTACGTTATAGCCTCTTTTTGAGAAAAGTAATGTTCTTATAGCAGCAGCCCTATCTATTTCAATCCCTCTCATAATTTTATTTTAATTTGGCACGAATTTTACATTAATTGTGTACTATTCAACAGAAATTATCAATTAATCCTATTTAAATTTCAATTAGTTTATTTCAACATTATGTTAACATGTGGCCACAATAATATGTAGGATCACTTCCCTTTTAAAGTATTAAAAAGGAACATTTTCCTTTTTTTTTTTTTTTTTTTTTGAAAACCTTTGTATACCTATTAATAAGCTACTACTGTAAATATTTCATTTTTTGACTTAAAAAAAATGTAACTAAAAAATTGTAAGATAATATATGCACAATAATTTTGTCTTTTTGATTGGTAAATTACCTGAATTCTAAGAATAATTACACAAAACTTAGCCACAAGAAATACTTTTCTAGCCTAATTTAAACGGTTTGAATTTTCATCCATAATAAGTTAGCTTAGAAGTCTAGGAAGTTTGCATATTTTCTAGATACCAGCCTAACTTTGGCTCTATATTCAATAGAAATTTCAAAAGCATCCCACTATAAAATCCTCTAATTCTTGCACATAAAATTCATCCCAAGTAACAATAATAACCACTTTGTTACATAAAAAATTACCCAAAAAACAATGAATATGCCCAAAAATTGCAATATTTTTATGCTTCATCATAGAAACCCTAGCACTTAGCCAAATATGCCACGCACAAAATTCACCACAAGATTATGTTAATGCCCACAATGCAGCTAGGGCTGCAGTGGGTGTTGGAAACATACAATGGGACGACCAAGTGGCGGCGTACGCCCAACAATACGCCAACCAAAGGATGGGTGATTGCGCTTTGCAACACTCTGGTGGGAAGTATGGAGAAAATATTGCCGTAGGTGGCGGTGACTTCACCGGCACAGATGCAGTAAAACTGTGGGTGAATGAGAAGGCCGATTACGACTATAATACCAATACTTGTGCTTCTGGTAAGGTGTGTGAACATTATACTCAAGTGGTTTGGCGTAACTCGGTTCGTCTTGGTTGTGCTAGGGTTCAATGTCAAAATAATGGATGGTTTTTCATTACTTGCAACTATGATCCACGGGGCAATGTTGTAGGCCAGAAACCTTACTAGAGTTTTTCCTAAAGTTTGATGTGAAACAAATATAATAATATATGTATGTATTTCAGCTCACTAGAGCATTGATGATACTCAATAAGAAGCAGCTATGTATGCTGAATTAATATGTATATGTAACGTTTTTTTACGTAAGATTTGTTGATTATATAGAAATAATTAAATAAAATAATAGTCACATTCTTAATTAAGATTCAAAGCGTTAAAAAAAACGGAGGAAGTATATGTTCTTGGATTTGTACATGCCGGTTGATGTATCATCTCAACTTTTGTCAGCCTAAACCATAAAATGTAACCAAATGCAAAATAATGACTTAGTACATACTAAAATGTGTACAGTTACTTCTGATAGAATCCATAGTTTCAATAATTTTTACCAATTGAATCGATCAAAGATTTCAAATATACATTATAGTTTCTTTGTTTACATTATTACTGAATTGAATAGAAACTCAACAACATATAATAATATATTAATTTCAGGCTATAGGAGTACTTATATTGGAAAATAAGGAATGTATCTATGTATGCGATAGCATCCAAAATTTCACCCATTTAATAATTCATGAACCAATTAGTGAAAAGTAGGCATTGCACGTCCCTTGAAATACCATATGTATAGCGTCAGCACATAACGTTTATTTGTTTTAGTGACTTGTATAAATTTATTTGTGAAATCCTTGTTATTCTTATAGCATTTGTGCTGCCATATCCTTTTCGTTATCTCACCATTACTTTTTGGGATGAAGCTTTTATTATTAACTGTACTAATATTTACTACGTAATTCATAGAAAACTCTATACAAATTAGTATCTCTAAAACTAATTAGCCTACGTTTGCAATCGTACAACTCGTCTTAGCTTGCACGTTACCCGCGCACAACAATAAAATTATCTACACACTTAATTTGTAAGTAACTCTAATGATCAAATTAAAGTAAAGAGGCTGATAAGTTATTTTCATATCTAGCCAACCTTATCCTTGCCATTCATTGATTCTTTGTCTTGTAATTTTTAAGCTTACGCGCGTATGAAGAGTTCTTGCAAACGGTTCATTGATTCTAGAAAATGAAATGACATGGAAAATATTCAACAACAATTTTGCACGTACTTAATGCAATTTAAAACATTAATAAAATAATTTAAGAATGTTTAACTGTTTAATTAAATTATACAACCACCTGATATTTTATACGTACCTGATTGTATAATCCAACTTTGTATATATCACGTACTCCATTAAAGGGGTGTCTATGTTAAAGATGTAATTTCATCCAACATTCCCCATTTATGAAAATGCAATTAAATTGGAAAGCTTCTCTATGGCCTACCAAGAATACTAAAAAGACTAAAAGTTGATTAGCAAACGGCAGAAAAAAAAATCAGGATAAGGCCCTGTTCAGTTCACCTTAAAAAAAATTAATATTCAGTAAAAATATGTTCAGTTCAGTAAAAATAATTTCAATTCATTAAAATTAATTTCAGTTCAGTAAAAATAATTTCAGTTTTGTAAAATTAATTTTAGTTCAGCAAAAATAAGATGAAGTGAATAGGGCCTAATATGTGTTTGTATATATCACTCCATTAAAGGTGCCCTTATTTAACATTTTTTACTCCATTAAAGGTGCCCTTATTTAACATGTGTCAAGTAACAATAAAATTATCTACCATCATTTTTACTCCAATAAGATGGCATAGTAGTACTCTCTACTCCAAATATATATACGCGGTAACTACATTTATGGCGGTGAATTCAAAAGGGTTTGTAGGCTTGTAGCTAGGGATGATCACAAAGTATGTCCTCAAGAGAGCTATAAGGGCGAATGATGTAGATCATATTTGATCTCAGATATTAAATTTTTTAAGACTTTGACCAACTAAGCTAGTTGATCATCCACAACAAATACTATTCTTGACGACTTAAGTGGCTAAATGGCGTGGATAAGATTATAAGTTTAGAATACTTGGAATTTTATTAATTAATTGTTTGTACATTTTCTTGATGCTTGTCATTCTTTAACTTTGAATATTCTACCTCGGAAAATAATGCCGCCACCCTTACAAAGAAATTTAAGCATCTCCCCCGCCCCCCCCCCCCCTATAAAAACCCCATAAACCATGCACTACTCATCAAAAATAACTTATTATCAACTCTCTATAATAAGTTAAGTAACAACTAACCCTAAAAATATGTTGTCCAAAAACCTAATATTTGCTTGCTTAATTTTTGCAACCCTAGCCCTTGCCCATACGTGCTATGCACAAAACTCACCACAAGATTATGTTAACGCCCACAACGCGGCTAGGGCCGCAGTGGGCGTTGGAAACATACAATGAGATAACCGAGTGGCGCAATATGCCCAACAATATGCCAACCAAAGGAAAGGTGATTGTGCTTTGCGACACTCCGGTAGTAAACAATATGGGGAGAATATTGCCACCGGTAGTGGTGCTTTTCTGACTGGCACAGCCGCGGTAAAGTTGTGGGTGGATGAGAAAGCCGATTATAACTATAATTCAAATACTTGTGCTCCTAATAAGGTGTGTGGTCATTATACTCAAGTGGTTTGGCGTAATTCGGTTCGTCTAGGATGTGCTAGGGTTCAATGTAACAATGGAGGTTATTTCGTTACTTGTAACTATGATCCTCCAGGCAATTGGGTAGGCCAGAAACCTTACTAAACTTTTCCAGAAAATTGTATCTCTTTTAAACCTTTCGTTTAACTTCGTGTTGCTATAATAAAGAGAGAATTGGAATAAGCTCACTAGATCTTTTTAGTGATATTCACTTAATTATATATATATGTGGTACTCTGTATTATTATGTATGTAAGGTTTGTTATGAGAGATACAAATGAATAAATGAAGTATTCTTAATTTTTAATTACATTGCATGGTGTATAGTAAGTCATTTGCGGGTGTAATTGTATATTTCACAAATTTAAATAATTAAGACCCTCTAAAAGTTTGTACCAAGCTAGCTAGAAATACTTTAATCCAAGAAATATAAATTGATCGACCAGAATTATTCCCTTTCGACTTGATACAAAATAAATTAAATAATGTATGTATATTAGCTCACTAGAGTATATAAAGAATAGAGAAAAAGCTTACTTTGTATTATTAATTTACAGAGTATTTATATACAAGCCTTGAGTGACCACTATAGAAAATAAGTCAACATACTACCTTAAATAAAGAGATTACAAAGTTAAGACTATACTATACATGGCACTAAAATATATTAGAATAATATATATACTAAGATAGGAGATTGTGATTGATTGTAATCAATCATGCTCATTCATCAAGGCTGCAATTTAGGAGATGATTTCTCCTTAATTACTATATGATATCTTTCCTTCAATATTCCCCCGCAAGATGGACGGTCTTGGAGCTAGTCCAATCTTGGAAAATAAATCAAGAAAGCGTGGCTTAGCAAGTGGCTTAGTTAGAGCATCAGCGAGTTGGTCCAAACCCGAAATGTGTTGAACTCGTAATGCACCAAGCTGGACTTTTTCACGCACAAAATGGAATGCCAATGCTAAATGTTTCATCCGTGAATGAAAAACCGGATTTGCCGAATAATGAGTCGCACTTAAATTGTCACAATAAATACTTGGAGTATGTTGTAGCTTGATATCAAGCTCTGAAAGGAGAGATTGCAGCCATAAAATTTCTGAAGTAGCAGATGCTACAGCCCGAAATTCAGCTTCAGTAGATGAGGTTGCTAGACCTTGCTGCTTTTTAGAACTCCATGATAGAGGATTGCGGCCTAAATATACAATATAGCCTGTGGTTGAAACAAAATTATCTCGATCACCATCCCAATTCGCGTCCGAATAGGCGTGCAAGCTTAATGGAGAATTGCGGTGAAGAGTAATTCCATGAGTTAAGGTGCCCTTCAAGTAGCGTAGAAATCGTTTGAGAGCATCCCAATGCAAGTCAGTGGGCTTATGCATGTATTGTGATAACATGTTAACAGCAAAGGCAATATCCAAATGAGTTAGTGACAAGTACTGTAAGCCACCAACTAAGGTTCGATATTTTGTTGGATTTGGAAGGGGGGTGCCATCAGTGAGAGTAAGTGGGGGATGGGTAACCATTGGAGTTGGGACTGGTTTAGCTTCACTCATGGCAGCTCGCACAAGAAGATCTTCAATATATTTCCTCTGGCTTAAAAATAAACCATTGGCATGAGGAAGCACCTCAACCCCTAGAAAGTATGATAAGGAACCAAGATCTTTCAAGGAAAACCGAGTAGCCAAAGTAGTGACAAATTCTTGTAGACTTGTAATAGAAGAGCCTGTGATGATTATGTCATCAACATAGACAAGTAGGTAGATAGTGGTATCAAGTTGACGATACATAAATAGAGAAGGGTCTGATATGGTGTTGGTAAACCCACAAGATAGAAGAAACGTACGAAACTCTTGATACCAAGCTCGTGGTGCTTGTTTGAGCCCGTAAATTGCTTTGTGCAGCTTACATACATGAGAGGGATGATCTTTGTCTAAGAATCCAGGTGGTTGAGACATATAAACCTCTTCTTGTAATGTGCCTTGAAGAAATGCATTATTTATATCAAGTTGACGAATTGACCAACCATTAGTGACAGCAAGAGAGAGAATGAGACGAACTGTTGTGGGCTTGATAACAGGACTAAAAGTCTCAGAATAATCGATCCCCGACCTTTGATGAAAACCCTTAGCTAAAAGGCGAGCCTTATAGCGTTCAATGGTCCCATCCGATTTATATTTAATGCGATAAACCCATTTGCAACCAACTAGATTTTGGGTAGAGTGGGGAGGAACAAGTTCCCAAGTCTGATTACGAGTGAGAGCATTAAACTCATCTGTCATGGCAGCCCGCCATTGTGGGTCTTTTAATGCTTGTGTAATGTTTGTTGGTTCAGAGGTAGAAGCACCAACTGTGGTATGGTGGGCAAACTTAGGATTAGGCTTAATAATGTTGTTTTGAAGTCTTGTGACAATCGTTCTAGTTGAACGAGAAGGGGGAGGAGGAGGAGGAGGAGGAGGAGGAGGAGGAGGAGGATAAGAGGAGGTAGAGTGGGTTTGAGAGGAAGCATTATTAGGAGATGAGGGTGAGGTAGGTGATTGTCCACTAGAGGAGCCGCTAGATTGTTGTAGAATATGAATAGTGATTGTACACCATTCATCAACTGTAGTGGCTTTGGAAGGTGTGAAGGATGGACATAAATCAGGATATGGGAAAACATCCTCAACAAATTTCACATGCCTAGATGTGTATATACGTTGTGTGGGAGGATGAAGACAGTAGTAGGCACTTTGAGATGGTGAGTAACCAACAAATACACAAGGTAACGAGCGAGGGTCTAATTTGTGTGAGGAATATGGTCGTAACCAAGGGTAACATAAGCATCCAAAATTTCTCAACTTATGATAATTTGGAGGGGTTTGAAATAGTTTAAGAAAGGGAGATATATTTTGAAGTGATGGTGTAGGGAGTCTATTTATTAAATATGTGGCAGTAGCAAAGGCATGAGGCCAAAGAGTAAGAGGGAGCTTGGCATGTGAGAGGAGTGTTAAACCAGTTTCGACAATATGTCTATGTCGACGTTCCGCATATCCATTTAGCTCAGGAGTGTGCGGAGGAGTAGTAAGATGAGAAATGCCATTAATTGAGAGATATGGAGTGAGTTTTTCATATTCACCCCCATTGTCCGAGAACACTTGAATTATAGGACGCTTAAAGAATTTCTCTACAAGGGCTCTAAATCGTAGAAAAACATCATGTGTATCCGACTTTTTCTTTAAGGGATAGAACCAAACATATTTTGTGAAATGATCTACAAAAATTACATAGTACTTGTAATTATCGTAAGAATAAACTGGAGATGACCACACATCAGTAAAAATGAGATCAAGAGGGGCTTTTGATGATAAAGTAGAAAGAGAGAAGGGCAACTTGTGACTTTTATTCATATTGCATGAATTACAATAGGACATAGCAAAATCTGAAATTTTTAAATCAAAACTGGAATTTAAAGTCTTAAGAATAGAAGAAGATGGATGTCCAAGACGATGATGCCAATCATGCATCGGTAATTTTTGAGTAGTGTAGACTCGAGGAGGACTTGGATTCCATTCATAGACTCCGGCTCTAGTTGGTCCTTGGAGTAGGACTGTGCCTTTCAAAAGCTCCTTAACACGAAAAAAAGAGGGTAAGAACTCGATACTTGTGTTATTTTCTTGACAAAATTTAGAGATGGATAAGATATTTCTAGAGATAGACGGAACATGTAGGACATTAGAAAAATTAAAAGATTTAGATGGGGTTGAGAGAGAGAAAGAACCAGTGTTTTGAATGGGTAGAGTAGAGCCATCACCAATTACAAGTTCCTCGGTGCTATCATAAGGAGCATGAAGGGAGAGGTTAGCAAGATCATTTGTCACATGATGAGACGCACCACTGTCTAAGAGCCATGTGGATGGCGGGACATTAGCAGTTGCAAGATGAGCATGAGGCGGATGATACCCCTTTTGTACAGCCCGGGCTTGGGTAGCAGTAGGAATCCGAATAGTGGGGAAGAGAGCCTTGAATGTTGTGCATTGATCAAGAGCATGACCTTGATTGCGGCATCATTGACATTTGCCGAGGTAAGGTTTTTGTTGTCGAGGGACCTGATTACTACTTGGAGTAGGAAGGAGAGCGGGAGCCGGTGTGGACATATGTTGATGTTTGGTGTTGGCATGAGCACGGTATTGAGCAGCATGAACCGTGGCAGGGAATGGAGTAGATGAAACTGATGATGCAGCCATAAGTTCCTTAGTGATGAGCTTCTCATGGAGCTCTTCAAAGGAAATAGGGGCATCCCTAGCATTGACCGCATCAATAACAGATTTATAAATATCATAATCAAGACCAAGAAGTACCTTATCAATGATATCTTCATGTTCCATAGGCCTTCCCATGGAGGCAAGATGATTAGTACATTGCTTAATGGCTTGCATGTACTCTGAAATACTTTGAGTTCTTTTGGTTATTTTTGCTAAATGATCCTTGATTTGTTTGAAGTGACCACGAGATGGGTTTTCATAGGTAGAGGCTAGAATATTCCAAGCCTCTTGAACCGTAGCCGATTGAGAAATAAGAGGAACAAGCTCTTGAGATAGGGTACCAACAAGAGCACCATAGACGAGACGATCTTGGCGAAACCAAGTAAGGGCAGCGGGGTTGGCTTGGGAGGTACCTTCAGCATTATTGATTGAGGCAGGAGGGGAGGGAAAAGAACCATCAACATATTTGTATAGGTCATAGCCTAATAACGTGGCTTGAATTTGAGCTTTCCAAGCGATATAGTTGGTAGGGGTAAGCTTAATTGCATTGTGAAGGTGAAAAATAGTGAAAGGTTTGGAAGGATCATTAGAGTTGGGAATAAGAGCTTGATGATCAGAAGACATGATGATAAAGAGGGAAAAAAAATCGTAGCTCTAATACCATATAAAGAATAGAGAAAAAGCTTACTTTGTATTATTAATTTACAGAGTATTTATATACAAGCCTTGAGTGACCACTATAGAAAATAAGTCAACATACTACCTTAAATAAAGAGATTACAAAGTTAAGACTATACTATGTATGACACTAAAATATATTAGAATAATATATATACTAAGATAGGAGATTGTGATTGATTGTAATCAATCATGCTCATTCATCAAGGCTGCAATTTAGGAGATGATTTCTCCTTAATTACTATCTATGATATCTTTCCTTCAATAGAGTATTGGTTATGGTACTCACTAGAGTATTGCATATGGATGTGAAGATTAATCAAAAGGATAGCTGTATAGGACCATCCTTTCGTTAATAATTCCAATCGATGTGTGCCGTGATTTATTTTAAATGAATATTTATTTATTTTTATTTTTATTTTATTTGTTTGATAGCAAAAACTCTTTTTGTTTTGTAGTGCATTTGGAAAAATGCAACCAATATATATATATATATATATATATATATATATATATATATCAAATTAATTAATAAGTCCAGCTATGAACCATTAATTATATAATTCGTGGCTACTTAGCTCCCGTAGTACGAAGTTTGTCGAAAGGTACTTTCCCCATTCTAAAGTAATTGTTATATTTAGACTTTTATTAAACTATATATTAGTACTCTCTTCTAATCATATTAGCTCCCGTAGTACGAACCATAAAAATTTGTTTAATTTGTCTCGATACAAACTCTTAAAATAACAACTTGTTATTAAGATTTATTAATAAATGATTAAAGATATTGATAATTAGCGGTCATATATATGACTGCATTGACAAGCTGCCACAAGCATGAACTCCATTTGTAACGATTATACAATATATTTTAAAATGGAAGAAGTAAAACAATGTAATTTCGCATAGTAACAAAATTGAAACGGCCAAACATTTCCTAGCCCTTTAATTGAAACGGCCAAACAATGTAATTTCATGATTTTTTATTTTGTTCATAAGAGAGATAAAATTAAGCAACGGCAAAGACTTTTCAACACACCACTAATTTCTACTTTTCTAGCCCTTTATATCCGGCATAACAAAGTCAAGAGAAGTCAATATATCTCACTATTTACTTATTTAGCATCAGCAATTTAGTATTGCATGATGTCATCCTTAATACTCCATTATTTATCACTAACTATTATTATTCCAAAATTTCCAACAATACAACAATTAACAATACAGAGTAATATTGATGTAAATTACACGTAGTACAAACTTTATGATTTTTCGATATGATTTTTTGTAAAATAAAATTACTTCATCAATAAAAGTAATTTTATTCCCCAATAAAAAAAAAGTCATTCTACATATTACGTAGTACATCTAAAAAAGAAATTATATACAAATCAAACAAATATATAACATATTGAATTAAATAAAAACATTATTATCCTTTATATAAACTACGATGTCTCGTAGATCTTGCACCGTGGTAAACACCTGATAAATAATAATAATAATAAAAATAAAAATTAAAACCCTTGTCAAGAGGGACAGTGTAACGATTATATGTAGTCGTGAAGTTGTTTTTCGACCATCTGTTCATTTGATTGTATCAAAAAATTGATAACTTCTTGTGACCTAGAATTTTCAAACGAAATAATTTCATAACAGTGCATTAGATGTATTATCTTGGATTTTAAAGTAAGAAAAGTAAACCTTGTCCGATCCAAAGATTGAATGTTTTGGAAGTTCCATATTTTCCAAATGCTGTCCCATCTAATTTAAATTAGGCTTCGAATCTTCTACAACTAATTTTCAACACTTTGCTAAGAATTTTCAAGAACTCCCTCCTATATAAACCCCTATCTCATGGACATAAAATCCATCCCAAGTAATCATATACATACCTCTTTGTATGTAACATTAGTAACAACCCAAAAACAAAAAAAATGAATGCACTCAAAAACCTTGCAACTTTTTCATGCTTCATCATAGCAATCCTAGCCGTTACGCGACTTTGTAATGCGCAAAATTCACCACAAGACTATGTTGATGCTCACAATGCAGCTAGGGCTGCCGTGGGTGTTGGTAGCATACAATGGGATGACCAAGTGGCGGCGTACGCCCAACAATACGCCAACCAAAGAATGGCTGATTGTGCTTTGCAACATTCTGGTGGGAAATATGGAGAAAATATTGCTCAAGGTGGCGGTGACTTCACCGGCACAGATGCAGTAAAATTGTGGGTGAATGAGAAGGCCAATTACGACTATAATTCAAATTCATGTGTTGGCGGGGAATGTTTGCACTACACTCAAGTGGTTTGGCGTAACTCGATTCGTCTTGGATGTGCTAGGGTTCAATGTAACAATGGAGGTTATTTCATTGGTTGTAACTATGATCCACCAGGCAATTACCAAGGCGAAAGACCTTACTAATCTTTTTGGTAAAAAATGCATGACGACTCATATATCCTCTAAGAGAGCCTTGGAACTATATAATATCTACTTCGTATATCTCTATTATTTGTTGAAAGTATACTTTAAAATCAGCTTACTAGAGCATTCAGTGATATTCACTACTTGATTATGTATCAAGGTATGTGGTATCAATGTATGTTATAAACATATGTATGCAAGAGAAGATCAAATGAATAAAGTGCAACTTATTTACAATTATCATACAAAAGTTTTTGTATCACTTCGGGGTATAGTAACTGTTTCGGGTGAAAACAATGGGACCTTGTCGAAGGTCCGATGAAGTGGAGAAGACTGGATTCGGTCCAAGTGATGTTGGGCCGAAGGTTTCCTGCACAGCAAACACACGTAAACTAGCCTCGGGGGTGTTGCCGAGGAAGGCCCCTCCGATGCTAAAGTCAGTACAGTGTGTAGAAAGAGAACACTATGCAAGAGAATTAATTGCTTGAGGCTTTGTTGAATGAATGTACAAATGTAATATTGATGGTTTTTATACCTTTGCATATATGGAGAAGTTGGGCCTTAGCCTAATTGACTTGCCATGAGGACTGATCTCTGACTTTAGCACAGTTGGAGAGATGAACCTTGACCTTGGGCTTTTAATTGGATCATTTAATGACTAGGCCCAATTGGACTAAATTGGACCCAAACAACTTGCCCCCCAGACCCGATTTGGAAGGATGACGGGTCGGGTTTGATTTAATCAGAAAAGGAGGGAAGTGAATGATTTAATTAATCTAAAAATTTGAATTTAAACCGTAATTAAACCGTAATTAATGAGATAACAATAGTTAAGGCGAATAATTGTGGAAGTTGGACGGATAATGGGCGGTTTAATCGCAGGGTCGTGTGTTTAACGGTTACTTAGTGGGGTATTTAAGAGAAATTGAAACGCAGACTCCCCGTATTCCCATTTCTGGAGATATAATTAGAGGCGCGTCATCTCTCCTCACTTATTCACCAACACAAACCCAGAATTCTCGAGAGAACCCAAGAACCCGCATCAAAACTTCACAAATTCCCCGAGCATTAGGCTTAGAAACTGAGACTCGTCACTACCAATTCGTAAATCGGCAACTTTCGCTTCAGATTAAGGTAAATTCCTTTTATTTTAGTTTATTTTTCTTCGAATTTGAACTCCTTCCCCTTTTTTTCGACTTTTTTCTTCGAAATTCATCAATGGTGAGAGGAGTTAGAGGTAGAGCCCGTGCTCCAAGAAGAGAAAGGCCAATTCCCGATCCCAGGAACAGGATTGGGACCTGGAATGGACAGAGAGTAGAGCCTGACCCTGCTGAAGGGATTAGGGCGACTCCCATTTCTTCGGCTCCTCCTCAGAGAACGGAGGGGCCGAGCGCTTCTGGTCGGGATGACGAAGTTCCCGCTATCCTTTGGGACATCCTTCCTGGGTTCTCAGAGTGGGAGGATGCCGAAGTAGCTTCGGCCATGATAAAGAACCGCCCCTACTCATGGTGGGTGGAGAATGCCGAACATTATCGGTTTGCCGAACAAATTGAGTTGCATTACGACATCCTTGAAGCTTATGGGTATTGGTGCCGAATGCCCGTGGCATCCGATAGAATCCATCGTCCACCCCCGGGGTATGTGGGGGTGTACACAAGACAACTTCAGTATGGGCTGAGGTTCCCTTTGGACGTATTCGTCCGAGACTTGCTGATCCATTACAATATTTCCCTATGTCAGCTAACTCCCATTAGCATCCGAAGGGTGATGACATACTTATGGGTCTGCAAGTTCTTCAGGTATGTGCCGAACCTGCACTGCTTCAAAAAGCTCCATCGGCTAGTGCCAAATATTCAAAGTGGGCACGGAAGTCATGGTTCTGGGTGGTACCGGATTGAGTCTCGGCCCCAGTACCTAACCATGTGGCCGAACGAATCTTCAGACAAGGACTGGAGAGGTCAATGGATTTGGGTTAGGGCACCCACGGACCCGGGCCACCCTTACGTCTTCAGCGCTCCCAGGTATCTTGCTGAGCCTGATCCCGACATGGAAAGTTTAGGTCCCCCCGAAGATAATGGCCCAGATCCGAACCTTAATCAACAGAACATCTTCGGCAAGCTGCCGAACCGGGGGGGGGGGGCAGCGGCCGAATGCAGCATATCCCGGAGACTTGGCTCCCCGATACGCATCATGTTTTCCAAGAGAACATGCTAGCAGCTGTCGGCCTCAGCCGAAAGTTTAAGGATGGTAAGGTTCTTTGGCTGGGGCCGAGGCCTTTTAATTATCTCTTTTCCTCTTTCACTTCGCACTTTTATGCTGTGCCGACCTAACTGAACTGACCTTTTCCCTCTTCTTTTTCAGAGCGGGACGAGACCAACATCGGCATTAACTACGCTCGTCTTGGCGTCAACCGAGAACGAGTTGTAACTGATCGGGCCCCTTCTATCACTGAACCGAGGCATAGGGAACTTCATCTAGACTCTTCTCATTTCCAAATTGAGGCTGTTGCTCTGTATCAGAGGCAGAAGCCTTGGTGGAAGAAGAGAGATCTCTGGTTTCAGCTGCTAGACGAAGAAGCTGAAGCTGCCCGTACGGCCGAAGAGGTTGCACGGGTTATTGAAGCTTGTGAAGGAGGAGAAGGGTCCTCCAGGGCTGCTGAAGAAGAAGCTGCAGCTAGGGCAGCTGAAGAAGACGAGGCTTTGCTGAAGACCTCGGTGAGCTTTTAGACTTAGTTTTGTCTGCTATATATATATATATATATATATATATATATATATATATATATATATATATATATATATATATATATATATATATATATATATATATATATATATATATATGTATATATCTTCACAATCTTCCTCCCCCCGTCTTTTTCAGTCCGAAGAGAGTAATAGACATAGAGAAGAGAAAGCCCCTGTTCGTCCCGAAGACCAGATACAAGAAGAGTCTTCAGACTCAGACATGGACGAGCAGCCGCTTCAGAAAAGGCGACGAAGAATAGCCATCATCGGCCCGCATGACTTTCAGCGTAGGCCGATGACCATCGGCGTCGAAATAAGGGAACCCGAGGAAGGCAATGGATCGCCGAGGGTTCCCCGGCCACCACCTCAATCACCTCCAAAGACCCCTCCGCCACCTCCCGAGATGGAGGTGGATCAGAAAACTCCCGAACCTAAGGGAGGGGTCCAAGAGGAAGTTCAAGAGAGTGCTGCTGAGCACAGGAATGAGGATGTCGTGATGCCCAGTGCTGAGGGTTTCACGGCAGACATTGCAAGAGAGGTTGAGGCCTTCGTCCTCACACCTGAAGAAGAAGAAGTCATAATAATTGACTCTTCTGAGAAGAAGGGGGATGTCGAGCCATCCAAGATTAAAGAAGCTCCATTGTCATCCTTCCCTTCCTTCCAGATGCTGCAGTCTGGAGAAATGGGTTTCTCGGCCCCTCGAATTCCAATCCCAGATCACATCTGGGACCTCATATGGGGTCAGAACCGAGAAGGTGTTGCAGCCTACTTCGGCGATTTTGCTGGGATGTCCGAAATAGATAGGGCAAGAATCTGGTCGCTGAAGGCCACTGCTGGGATGGGCGAATCCAGCAGATCAGTTCTAGACCCAGCCAGGTCTAACCAACTGCTGATGATGCAGGTGATTCTCCTTACCTTTATCTCTTTTTCAATTCAGCTCTTCAATTCAGTTTCAATTATTATTGTTATTTATTTTATGTTGACTTGTGCTCCTGTTTCAGTTCGTGCACAATCAGACTCTCACTGTAGAGCTGATAGATACCCACAAGATAGGGTGGACGCTGCCGAGCACGACAAAAAGGTAGCTGAGGAGGAGTTAAAGCTTGCTAAGCTGAAGCAAGCAGCAGCTGAAGAGAAGCAGCAGAAGGGTGAAGAATATGAGAAAAGAGCTGCTGAAGCCCTTAAAACCTTCTGCGATGCTATGGAGAAGGAAGTTTTTCCCCCACTGATGGAAGGGGAAAAATTCCTTCAAGAGCACATGGGAGTGGACATCTCCAAATTCAAGGCTACCATTGAGAGCCGAATCCAGGAAGGAGCTGCTGCACAAGCTGAAGTGCAGCAAAAGCTAGAAGCTCTTGAAGCCAGTAGAATGGCCGCTGAAGAGATGCTCCAAGCCCGGAATGTCCAACTCTCAGAGGCTGCTGATGCTACTGAAGCTCAGAGAGCTAAGCTCCAAGAAGCTGAGGATCAGCTGATGGTCAAAAAGGAAGAAGTGGCCCAGGCTCAGACAGAGGCTTCCCAAGTTCAGCGGGAGCTGAATGAGCTAAAAGGTTCCTCCTCCAAGCTCGCCGATGAGCTGAAGAAATCCAAGGAAGACTTGGAGGAGACAAAGAAGAAGTTGGCTGATGTTGAGGCTCTACTCAAAGTCCGTGTCTATACCCAAGAAGAGTATGAAATGGGTTTCAGAAACGGGTTCAGAGTGTGCCGAAGAGTTTGCCTACATGCTGAGCCGAAGTTGGACTGGTCCAAATGTGCTGAATGGGTCCAGGATCCCGAAGACCCTCATATGAAATATGCAACTCCAATCGAAGCTGAAATCCTTAAGGCTGAGGAAGCCGAAGAAGAAGCTGAGAGAATGGAGTTGGAGGCTGAACAGAGGGAAAGGGAGGCTCGGCAGAGTGCAAAGCCTGCTTCTTCTGCTGCTGGGGCTGAGACCACCATGGGGCCCCACAACGCTAATCAGTCTGATCCTCGGGCTGAAGCATAGGAACTCGGGCAGTCGTCTTCAGAATCTTGCGGTTCATCATGTGCTCAACTTTAGACTTGCCGCTTTCTGAATTTTTGCCTTGTTTGTTTTTTGCTTCAGCTTGCCTTGTCGTACAAACAGTTTATTTTTTGCTTCTATACGTATTTCGGCAGCTGTTATTTTCCGCTTGTGGGCGGCTGCCGATATAGTTTTTTAACTTATTTGAACTTGTAGCTCAATTTCTGAGCATGAATTATTAATTTGACGTCCCTTTCTTCAACTGCTTTGTCTTTGAATGCTTTACTGTTTCTTTAATTATGCTGAACGTAAACTTGCACTGGTAGTGCCTCTTGCCCCCCCCCCCAGAAATTGAAGTATGACTTCAGCTGAATAAACAATTTCTTTATTTCTTAAAAATGGGTATCCGAAACACAGGGTCAACTGAAGGCAATGCTTCGGATAATGGCTTTCTGGGATACAAGGCTCAGTTAAGGCAATATCCCAGACTTTTCCGTGGACTCATGCCTTTGGA